TCATTTTTCTTCTGTTATTTTTCTCATTATCGCCATGATACATCCTCAGCTAATTCAGCTATCACTCGTACCACATAAATAAAGCCTTTACCAGGAAGCATAAGATAGAGCGAAAAGTCATAGCCTGTTCTAACCAAATAAAAGTATGCATAACAAAGACAGCGCACTTCTTTCGACTCGTGTAATTTCTTAGAAATAAGCAGAATAATCGAAATTAAAATTATATGTAACACATTAGGTTGTCTGAAACGTAATGACGCATTTTTGTATGTTTAGGGCGTAGGGCTGTGCTTAAGAACATACTGTTCGGATTGTTGTCGCATTCGTTAAGGTGACACAATGAATGCTGATTGTGAGAAAGTGAATATTAAGTTCTGCGTTAAGCTCGGGAAAACCCCTAATGAAACGTGGAACATGATTAAGCAAGCATATGCAGGCGAAGCACTTTCAAGAAGTCGTGTTTATGAATGGCACAGAAGATGTCGGGAAGTCAGAGATTCAGTGCAAGACGATCCCAGAACTGGTCACCTGTCTGTAACACATACCGATGCAAACGTGAAGCGTGTAAGGCAGATATTGCAAGAAGACCGTCGAGTAACTATGTGTGTGTATGAGATCAGAACTGAATTTTAATCATGATGTGAGTTATAAGATTTTAGGCGAAGTTTCAAGGAAACGGGAATCTGATGCAAGAATCGTCCCTCACTCACTAAGAGATGAATAGAAAGTGGAAAGACGAGAATTTCTGCTAGACTATTGAATAGAGGCAAACGTGATCCCACATTTGTATCAACGATTGTTGCGATTTTTTCTTGTTTCCGTGAGTAAAACGGTGACTGAGAAGAAAACTTCATCAAGATTATTGCAGACATCCAACGGGCTTGGGAACAAAGGAGCTTGCAAGCATCGCAGTTGAAGATTTAAATTTACGTTAAAATTCTCTTTACACTGATTTTTATATTCGCCACCCTTAGATTTATCCGCACTCTTGTTATTGGAATTTCCACCTTTTCCAGTCTGTTGATAGGCCTTCTGTTAAACTTGCGGTTTCTTCTGAAGAGAAAACCTTGAATATTGGCTAAACTGATTTGCGCGCGCTTTCTCCGAGTTCCTTCTGCTTTGGAATTTCACCGCGAGCTGGAATAGAACTTCTAATGTTTGCGGGTTACGGACTTCGAGGAAATCTTGAGCTCTCTTCCCATATAATAAATTGAAAATTTAAATTTTTCTTAGAATAAATTCCGTCAACTCATCGATAATGCTTTGATATTTACTAAACAATTCTGATTCTAGCTTCGCATGATCTTTCACAACTGGAAATGCTTTTAACAACGCAGACTTAAAATTCTCCCAGCTGTACGATTCTGAACCTGGGTCCCCCAACAAGAACTTTCCAATTCCTTTATACAAGCTGAGAACCCCTTAGGTTTGTTGTAGCGATGGTGATTTTCTGCAGCTGCTTTACTGGATATAGAGTAAAATGCAGGTCTAGTTGTTCCAGGAAGGTCATAACTGAGCCTTTGCCGTCAAATGTTGCGGCTGGTTTCATCGCAGCACGCATCGTTTCCATGATGAATCCAAATCCTTCCATTGGATTCGTGGACGTCTGAGGAACCTGAAAGGTTAGAGGGGTCAACGTAAATTTCCCGGACTCTAACGACATGGTCCGTTGAAAACTTTTCGGGTGCCAAATGTAGAATTTCTCACCTTGTAAATGCTAAGTTACAGTTGAAAGTAAAAAATCTTTTAAGAACTGATAAGCGAATAATCACTTGAGTTCGTGTGACAGGAAACAACAAGATAGAAGGGTAAACTAGCCCTTTATTATTCCAACTAAAGTTTAACAAAACTCTGTCTTGGAGTGCACAATAAAGCCGACACTTAGGCTTTGAACTTAAGAGACTAAGAATAATACTAGTCTTAACTAAACAGATATAGCCAAAGCTATCAAGATTCTAACCGAGTTGGCCCCTTAACGCTAATTGACTGCGAAGCTATCAAGGGCCTAAAGTACAGCCGAGCGTAATATTAGCTTACGAGAGAGTAACCTAAAAAGGCGGACGCGTGCAGACAGAATACTGGTAACTCTCTCGCTAAGACCGAAGAACATCGCGGTTAAATACCGCTTTTCCTCATTATACTCGTATATTCAGACGTGATTCTAAAACTACGCTGGCCGGAAGTAAAAAGTTGAAGTTCAGAATTGACAGGAAAGGAACTTAAAATTTAACTGTTAATAAAATTAACATAATTCTTACAAGGTCTTTAACATCTGTATTAATTAACCCATTAACTTATTATTATTTGAACTTTACTATTATTTCTAGTTTTCATTAGTTCTCACCTGGATATAAATGAGATATGCGTATGTATTAAGTTCTTGAATTTTAGAGAAAGATTTTCCCCCAAATCTGATCGTAGTAATATTTTGTGCTATTTTCTGGCACAATTCTAAGAGTTACTTGATTGGCGTTAGCCTTTCCTTTTTCTTGCTACCCTAGTTACCCCGTACCTAGGTACAAATGAGCCAGTGGTTGTTAAGCTTTTGCAGCTGTGAATCTCCGTTAAATTACTTTGGATTTTAAATTCCCCTTTTATGCTTCTGAATTCTCGCGAATATTACTTATTTGTAAGCACAAGTCGAGCATTATTAAGCTGAAAGTTTAAATAAAAATGTATTTTTTAAATTCTCTTCTGGATCTATTGTTATATTCATAGACGAGCGATAATTCAGCTGATAGAAATCAATTCTAATTTAATAAAGTAGAACTTTGCAAATCATTCGGCGAAACGCACGTTGAAAGGTGTTTGGACTATGTCGAAATTTTAATTAGATCTGAATCCTTTTTCCTGTCACTTTTTTTCCAGTCAAGTCATAATTATTGTTCTACGAATGCCTTTTGGTAGGCGTTAAAATTACCTTCCAAATAATGAAAGTTATTCATAGTCATTGCAATTTAAGAAATACATCTACTGCTTAGCAATGTTTTGATAATTTTCGATGGCGATAACTTCTGTTTAATTCTATTAAAATGTGTTATTGTTTTCGTTACATGAATTCCTTATCTGTGCAGAATAGAAGTGGTTGCCATTTTATTCGGGACAAATGTGTTTTGTGAATTTCGTGAGAAAATTCTCCCTCTGAAATATATCCACAGTTACTTTCCTGACCCCTATGTCTCTAACACTCAACCATTCTTAAAAGTATTTTCATCTTCTTAAAAGTGGTTACTTCTTAAATTTTGCCGGGTTATCGCTCTGAATTTAGTCAATGTATGCATGCGCAAATTTAAACTTCATTTATGCACTCCTGTTGGATTATAAGTAAAACGGGGATTTACGAACTAAATAGTCAATTACTGATCGAGAGTAATTGGTGTAATTAGGCAACAGCTAATCACTGAAGAAAAAAGCACGTCATGAATCTCGACGTAAACAACCAGCAACATTGAGGATGCAATGTGGAAGATATGCACATAATCAAATGGCGCTCGCACGCATAAGGTATATAATACCAAAGTGGCTTTTCGCTAGTTACCAAATTCGCCTCTCATGCTTTCATTTTCCTATTTTTACTTGTAAAAAGTAAAGGAAGTATTGTAATCAGGAAAAACTCCGGGTACCATATTTCAACGAAAATATCTATTTTGACCGCTATCGAATGCAATTTATTCATGTTTTTGCGTGACATCTGTACGTAAGGACAGAATAAAGGACTCTTTATCCCAAAACGAATTATAAAACTAATTTAAAATGGCTTCAGAACAGATTTTTTTTCATGACGTCTGTACGTATGCATCTTGAATAATCACAAAACGAGTAGCCTCAGAACGATGAAATTTTGTATATAAAACTGCTATAGCACGCAGTTGTTCACCTCCCTTTTTGATACCCACTCTATTACTCGGCTCATTGAGCTCAGTTTTTTTATTCTTATATGTTCGTAAATTGTGCATTTTTTGCATTAAAAATGATTCAATTGTGTTATTCTTCTCTTCCGGTTAAGGTTTTTATGTTCTTAGTTAACTTCCACGCAGTAGTTGTAGAATTATCAACAATTTAAAAGTTGTTTAAGTGAGGCTAAGCCTAATTTTTTTTTTTTTTTTTTTTTTTTGTTTGTTGTTGCCATAGCAGCCATATTTGTTTACATTTGAAACTTAGCAGAATAGTGGATTTGTTGCCAATCTAGAGAAACTAAGCTCCGCATCAACAAAGATAATACCTTCTTTTATTTAATATTATATTTTTATTTAATTTAATAATGCTTAATCCATTCTGAAATTATCATGTAAGTTATTAAATTATCTCATATATTGATTCAGCACAGCATCCACAACAAATTAAGTCAGTTTCTACGCCTTCAGTATCTTTTTACCGAAACCAAAAGTAAACTTTCAGTTTCTGCGTCAAAAAATCTGCCTTCTTGCCCACTGGCCGAATTGCTTGTTTTTGTGTAGCAACTCTAATTTTAATTGTAAAAAATTGCTCTTTTAATTATTTTAACTGTATTTATGTTTCGTATTTTTCTATATTTTTCAGTTTTTAATAAATATATTTTGAGGTTTCATATATTTTTACCTTGTTGCGAAGTGATAACTAAATTAATTGAATACAAAATATATCTCTAATTGAAATTCGAAAAAATAAGTTTAAACGAAATGCAGGGAAAAATGCGTGTAATTTAATATTCCGGTTAAGGAAGTCAAGCGGTGTACACATCAGATATTTTTATGTATGAATTAAGGTTTGTGATTATGAATTAAAAGAAACTTAATTTTTTAACTAAGTTTAACCACTAGTAAAGCTTAAAATAATAAATTTATTTATTTATTTATTTTTGCCTGTTAACAGTTTTTACAACAAAATGTTAAACTTATAAAAATCGAAAATATTTATTAGATTCTGTGTCTATTTTCGTTTTAGAAAAGAAATCTTTTCTGTCTGTTACACCGAAATCTAAAAACAAAGATTGAATTGCGAATTATTTTTTTTCCTTACAGAGACGGTGAGAAAATGCGATTTCTTCTTAGGCGTCTTTTCTGTTTCTTGGCCAGATGAATTGGTGTGCGATGAGCTGCCGGATTCACCAGATCCAGAAGTCTGCGTGGGATACGAACAGATGCGCAGCCTTGAAATGTCAGCCAGAAGTATGTCTGCTCCGATAATTCCAATATGTAATTTTCTCGCTGTAATTGGTTTTCTAGGCGTGAATTCCGCATAGTTTCTAAGTGTTTGACTGCTAATTATTACGTTCCGGCATACTTTTCCCACGCTTCACTAACAATACGACGATTTTGAATTCTACTATGAAATGCTATAGAATATGCAGTAAGAAATTTCGGTAAATGCTCCATTGAAGTGGAAAATTAATTATGTTACGGTGGTCTCTTAATTTAACTCTTGCATTTTTAAACGATGCAGAAGATATTCCTATTTCTGATAGGATTCCGTTAAAAGAGCTGTCTGTCTTTTCTAAACTAAGTACGTGTGTTCTAAACTGCAAGAGAAAAAAAATGTTTTTTTCTTTTATTATTTCAACATTGTATCATTAATATATTATACACTGTTACAGAGTTTAGAAACTAAAAATCTTCATCCTTAAGCCAAAATAGAAAACATTTCAAAATACAAAACACAAAATCAAACACAATTTAATAATTGTAAGTGACTGGATTCCACAGAATTTTTATCATTTCGGTTTGCTCAGTACCTTTTTTGAGCTGCATAATATTGCTATGTCGCTTTGGATTTTAATTACAGTAAGACCCCGCTTAACGCGGTGGATACGTTCCATCAAAGTAGAGCGTAATACGAAACAGCGCTAAACGAGGCTATCTTAACATGTAAATAATGGGGTTAGGGAAAGATGGATAGGAAATTGGTTAAGTATTAAATTTAATAATTTTTTTAATAAAAATAAAACCAAACATTTATTTCTTACAAAAATATAAACAATATAAACGAATATACTTATAAAAAACAAATAAAATTCTCAGTTAGTCAGATCATTCAGTCTATTCTGCGTTTCAAATTTTCTGCTTTTTTGTCAAGGAGGCATCTAATGTTGAATCTACTGAAGTTGCCAAATTCAATGCAGCACTGATTTGAGATTGACGTTCACCAGAATCTAATCTTCTAATCACTTGCATTTTAGTTTCCAGTGAAATGCTTTTTCTGGTTGCTTTCTTTTCTTGCTTTTTATTATCACCCATGATAAAAACTAAAGATCATAATATTTGTCACTGTATTTATTGTTATAGTATTATATAAATTTATACTTACAATAATGTCAACAAATGTTTCAAATGATAAAATGCGTCCGTACAGCACCGCACCAAACAAGAAACACAACTACACTGTTTCGGATATGTTATTTGGAAACCTAGCGCTGCGCACAATTTCAGGAAATCCCCATAGTGCTGCGAGCAATTTCGGGAATCCCCGGGTTGAAATAAAAGAGCGCTAAACCGAAGCAGCGCTAAACGAAACAGCGTTAAGCGGGGTCTTACTGTATAAGTAGGGCAGTAATTTTACCGTGGAGAGAAAAGGCTGCGTTTGGGGACAAATAGCTAAGTAAATAGTAAAAATTCACACCTTGGAATTTACATTTATAAACTTGCGTAGTATTTGTTGGTTGCGTATTTACATTAATATTTCGGGGAGCAGAATATATTCAAAATATAATGCAATAACGCTTCTGAAACTATTAGATATTTAATTTAGCAGCAGCATATTTGAAAAATATGTACTACCCCTTGCGAGATTCAAACTCCTGACCTTCCAGTTGCTAGCCGTTCATACTTCCAGTTACACCATGTAGGCACTCGTTAAGGAGGGGAAAAAAAGCTTGGAAAACAAGTAACTATTAATTAAATAAAAAAACATATTTTTCTTTAGGTAGCTGAAATTTTTCCTTATCAAGTAGTCAGTTTCTGAAAATGTATTTAATACTTTTTCTTTCAACTCAAGATTAGTATTCATTTTGAAGCCGTTTTTATACATTATACTATGTGTAATGACAGATTTTCTGAACTTAAGTCACACTTGTTTTAAAAAAAGATCATTCGGAATCGAAATTTTTTGTTGGTAATGACAGGAAACCGTACTTTTAAAATTACGTAATTTAAAATTCAGTTCACTTCAATTGTTCATTCTTAGTACGTTATATTTAATAAAACGAGAAGATTCAACTAAACAGTCGACATCTGCTAGATGATGTTTTTTTAACTTAGACGAAGTACCTTGTAATTTAAAGTTATAAAACATTATATAGGCGTACTGTTGCTTCTTCAACTGATATCCATAAAAGGGCACTTACCAGCTTTGGGCAGAAAATGGGAATTTCTGCGGTATCCGAGAAATACTGCATCTTTCCAAATTGATTAATTCTGGTTCTCATGATGATCACGATAGTTTATTATTTCCCAAGGCATAAGCTGCAGTTAATATAATCAGTTTTCTAATTCCCGGGCTGATATCCCGTGCTCATAATAAGCATAAACTTCTGCTCGAATTTACACTGGTTATCATAAATTAAGGAAAAATCACAAAAATCACGATTACTGAAAAAGTTACATGTATAATTTAATTAAACTTACCCACAATATACAACACATAGTAAGGTATCAAATAACATAAAAAACATTACTAGACAAATATGGTAGTATAGAAATTAGCACATGTATAAAATGAACAAATCGAAGGTGTCAGTTTGCTATAGGAAAGGTACCTTCAACATGGAATCTGATCGCCTCTAGAAGCAGTACAGCACATACAGCGATGTGTGATGCTTTCAATTATGCGGTCTATCAGTTCCATAGGAAGCGAGAGCCATTGCTCTTGCAAAGCAGTCGCTAGTGCGTCAAGGGTTTGAGGGGGCGGATTGAGAGCAGCTAGACGTCTTCCTAAAGCATCCCAAACGTGCTCGACAGGATTCAAGTCCGGGGATCGAGCTGGCCACTCCATGCGCATAATTGTTTCCCGTTGAAGATAATCATCTACGATGCGAACCCTGCGTGGTCTTGGGTTGTCGTCCTGTAACAGGAAAGCATCACCTATTGCCCCGGCTTATAGGCGCACATAAACATCAAGGATGTCATCTCTATAAATCTGAGCATTCACGGTTCCCCTTGGAAACACATAGAGGTCTGTACGTCCACCCAAAGCGATGCCACCCCAAGCACAGACACTGCCCCTTCCGTATGTATCTCTTTCACGGATATTTTACGGATGATAACGGTTTCCAGGTTCTCTCTATATCAAATAACGCCTACTATCACTTTCTAGACTAAACCTGATGAATTATAATTTAATTTAATAAATGCCTATATTTTAATTTTCATCCGTAAAGAGCACCGCCCTCCATTGATCAGACGTCCAGTGGACATGTTGTCGTGCCCACTGAAAACGGTCCCTCCTATGGCGTGACGTGAGCGGCACACAAATGGCTGGTCGCCTCGCATACAGACCACCTTCGTGAAGCCTTCTACGCGCAGTTGACGTTGACACGAACCTTCCGGTGGTTGCAGCAAGGGAGGATCTAAGAAGAGTCGGAGTAGCGGTTCTATTCCTGCGTGCACATAATGTCAAATATCGGTCATCGGGGCTCATCGTAGCAGTTGGATGTCCTTGGCTGAACCTCCTAGATGCCGAATCTGTGGTTTGAAATTGCCTCCAAAGTCTATGAACCACAGAAGGACTCACATTTAGCCATCTGGCCACTTCTGTTTGACTTTGTCCTGCCTCTAGTCCCCCAATGGCTCTCCATCGCAGTTCTGCAGGCAAATGATGCCTGGAGGTCATTGTTACGAATTGGCTATCTCAGATTTCTGATGTCACTGTCACAGTGAAATATATGGGCTTGCTCTCAAACATGGACATGGCTCCTCATGGCTCCTCGCAGATGACGTATTCCGAAAGCAGCGCCACTAATTTGCATATCGCAGATTTATTCAGCTACTCTTACTTGGCAACATATTCAAATTTTACACGGTTTGGCTTATTTTTGAGGGAGTTATCCCTATTTTTGTGCTTTTTCCTTAATTTATGATAACCAGTGGATATGGCACAAATCAAAGATGATAGGAGAGTGTTCAAATTAAGCTCAACTTAAATAAAAACTTAAAATAATCATCTCAAAATAACTTTGCTAAAAGAGTTTCTTCTCATATCCCAAAAATCTAGCAGAACATTTCGAAGTTCGGCAGAACATTTCCAGCAGAACATTTCGAAGCTTGGATTTGACATAGATTTATTTAACGGATTTTGCATTTTTGCCGAAATTCTATCGAACAGTCGATTACAAATTATTTAGTTATGAAGCTAATCTAACAATTGTAAGGGAAATTAAAAATTCGTAGGCAGTATTAAGGAATTTGGAGTTGTTTTTTGGCATTCGCGAAAAAAATTAGATTTTGCGAAATTTTAGAAAAGTCTTTAAATTTCGCCGATATTCGTCTCTCCATAACGTTTAACTGCATTATTATATGAAATCGAAATATTTCTTGCAAGTAAATTTAATATTTTTTTTGTTCTACACAAGGAAATTCACTTTCCTTCCATATCTGTTAAATCTTAGCAATTATTTAAAATTATATTTTTTGCTGAATTTTTGACTATAAGCTTTTGCCATCCTAAAAGAGAGGCAAAATTATTATTAAAATTGATATTAAAGTTTATTTTTTTCCTTTTACCTAACGGCATTTTGCCACATTACCCGTAATTTCTTTATTGTTCTTATAATAGTTTTTGTTTTTTATTTCTAGCTTGTGTTAATGGATTTCGTTGTGATCGGACACGTTGCCTTCCTCAGTCTTGGGTGTGTGATGGATTCTCCGATTGCACCGACGGAACGGACGAAAGAAATTGTAGTGAGTAATAATATATCTATATCCCAGTACTGCATTTTCTAAATTTAGGACACGGAATATAGTGGAAAATTGAATTTTCAATTAATTTTGTTCTCCATCGTATTAAATAAGGCATTCACGGTCGTCTTTTTTCCTGTTTAGGATAAACACATAAATATGTCAGCGTTCAAGTTAATTTAAAAAAATATTTAATTATTAAATTTTTAGCGTAAAATTAACACAATTAATATTTTATAATATAAATTATGATAATAGATTAGTACCCAATATATATATTTTCTACAATACAAAGAATTTTTTAAATAAATTATTCTACAAGTAATACAGCATAAAAGATTCGAGCAGACGATATTTCCTTATTAAAGAAAAATCAATCTCTAATTAATTTTCTCCAGAAATGATTTGAGAAGTTAAATTTAATAAGTGTGATTAAATAGTTATTTAAAAAGTACTTATGGTACAATTCCGTTAGAGGGGAGTCAGTTAAAAATGCGTCAACAACCACGCCAAATATCATGGCTCGAGAATTTAACATTTGAAATATCGTGGCTCAAGATTTCTAGTTTTCGTCTGAAATATCGTCACTGGTTATTTTTTTGCCATATTTTGCCATTTTTTTTAAAAATCGATGAATTACACAATTTGACAATTACCTAATGACAACAGAATGCATAAGATTCTTTCAGGACAAAGGATTAATTTATATCATATATTTATGTTCTCAAACTCGTCCAATGAAGTTAAATTTTGACTGAAACAAAGCTCCTATATGACGTTGCTAAGCACATTCTTTATGTGAATAAAAAAAAAGATGAGAATCAAAACATGTTTTGAAGGCTCGCATCATTTTTTCCTCAATGTCGTTCTTTTTATCTCTCTGTGGTGTCAGGAATTGACGTCGATTGAATTTTGCCAACTTCAGTTAGAAATCAACCATAATAAGACAATAGATTGAAACAACTACTTGACGGAGGTATGTGCAAATAGTTTGATGCCTCGTAAAAGAAACAAAACCATTTGAAGCCAGCAAAATTGTAAAAATAGATGAAAGTCTTTATGCCGGAAAGCAAAGAATGTGTTCTGGTCGCCGTTCCCAATCGTTGTGCTACAACAGTCATCGCTGCCATTCAGGAAAGTATCGCGTATGGCAGCATTATATTTTCAGACCGCTGTAAAGGATATAAGAAAGAGGAATTAAGAAATGCTGAATATGAACATACAGCTATAATTTTGCTAGACCCCGATACTGGATGATATACCCAAACTGTGCAGCGACTGTGGGGCAGTTCTAAATGGAGAAATAAAAGTCAGCGGGACACTTCTCGCCACCATTTAGAGTCATATTTGATGGAATTTGTGTGGCGTCGAATACATTCAAAAACTGATATTTTTTCTGAAGTAATACCACTATCTATCATTCAATACAATAATTCATTTTGATAATAATTTTCAAAATATTGAATGATATATTATATTATGATATATATATATTATTATATATATATATATATCATTCAATACAATAGTTCATTTTATGCCACTTGTTTCGACTGAATTTCGTTTTGTTTCGTTATTTTTTATTTATGTGTAAAATATTCTAGGTTAAAAAATTAAAAAGAAAAATTTACTTTCACTAAGAATTAAGAATTTTTTTTTAATTTCCATTTTACAGAGCTATTTTTTTAGTCCTTTGAACCCTATTATAATTTTATAATTTTATACTTGGCAAGAATTGGTGGCAAAAAAAGTAGCTCATCTTTAACTGACGCCGTTCTAACGGAATAGTGCCGTATTTATCTGGCAGAAATTATCCCCATACTCTAATACTTGAAAAAGTATAGTTGTAATAGTTTTATGTTTTTATCTTTTATAAAGTATATTATTTACATTTTTCCCATTTTTCTCAATTTCATAAAGCAAACATAGCTAAGTGTTAAAAGAGTTACTTTTATTCTTTTCTAAATTAGTGTTAAGTAACAATACTTTAACACAATCATAATACAAATATCTCAGTTAAAATATATCAATTATGTCATCTTACACTGGAAAAGGGGAAGAAGAAAAATACACTTTGAGTTCCCGCATTCTGCTTATCAATGTTTAACAATATTTTAATCCGAAATATTACGTACAGTGAAGTTTTTGATTAATTTCATGGGTTGATTAATTTTGTTAATTTCACTATTCTTTTTTTGCGCAAAGTTGGAGTTATGTGTTGTTAAAATAAAATAATAAAATGCTTCATCCACTTTTGTTTAATCTTTATTTAACATTATTTATTTATTTCTAAACTTCGTTTAATCATTTCGGTAAGTCACAAGATGTATATACAACCTGAAAGTTGGATTTATTCTCTACTTTTTAATTTCTTCGTTCTCATTCCCATGCAGTTCATACCGCAGCAAGTTTCGCATGTTCTCTTATTCGATTTGTTAGATTTTTGGAGTTTACTAGTAAAAAATAAAAACTCAAAGAAAAATCCAGTAAAAATATCATTAAATTTTCACAAAACCAACTCATTATAGATCTGAAAATAATAATAACTAATGAATATTGCATAAAACTATGTCATTAAAAACCATGTACTAGTACATACATACACATACACACACACACACACACACACACACACATATATATATATATATATATATGAAACAATTTAGTCAATATACACATATATATATCAATTTCAAACTGCAGTTTTTAAATATTATTCTAATTTAGTAAGATGTATTGCCTGTCCTCAAATTTTGTATTTCAGGCGACTGCGGACCGGATCAATTCTATTGCGGACATGGTACGTGCATTGATAAGAGCCTTGTGTGCGACGGTATTCGGGACTGCCCGGATGGACGCGAAGAAAGGAGGTGCCGTACGTATTATAATTTCTCTATGCTTTTGGAACGAACTCTTCCTTTCCAGAAGTGTACAAATTAATATTATTCAGGAAAAATTCAATAATTTAAGGAACAAATTCCCAAGTTATTTTTATTTCTCTTGAATGTAATAAACTGCCAACTTTCAATAACATGCGTATTTTATCGTATTACTGCTCTAAATCCTTTTTAACTAATTTTATTAACTCCTTTGCTAAATAATATGCAAATTAGGCTTGTTATAAGGCATTCAAATATGATACAATTGAATTAAAAATCTAAAATATAGAATAGTTGTATGTACTTGCAAAGCATATCTTTTACATAAACCTCTTGACATGCAATGCATGTTTCCCAGCATTTTAGAAGACGTTTTTATATTCTTTTATACTGCACAAAGCGAAACACAGCTAAAATAAAGAATCCCGATGTAAACTCATGAAATTTTTTTAACTGTGGCAAAGCACACGAAGGCTATTTGCGTAAGGGGAGGGATGCCTTCGTGGAGGACTTTCTAAGGAAAACTGGCTCGTATACACGTTACACATAGGGAAAACCACGAAAACGCCCATGCAGCCAGCCCGTTCTAATTATTTATAATCACTATGCCTTCGTTTTCAATAATATATTTCATAATTTGTTGAAGTGCGAACATACACTTTGTATTGAAAATTAAATCTTTCACTGGAATTTTTATTGCAAATCCTTGTAGATACTTTACTCTTATAATGGTAAATAATGGACATTGCCAAATATAATATTTGGCATCTGCTAAATGTGTTGGTGGTCTGCCCCCACATTTTACATTTCTTCTTAAGAATCGCTGGAAGCTTAATAGAAATTTTCCATGATTATACTAACATAATTGTTTTTAATTTTAGAAATCTGTGTGGAAAGTATTCATGAGTTAATCTGCCTGTATCTGCCTCATCCTGTCTTCTTTGCTATTTTACTATTTACTTTACTTTGCCATTTTACTTTACATTGCTATTCTAAATTTTTGACGTATTAGAACTTCCTTATCTTGGTAAGCTATAAATGCAGCTTCAACTTTGTCTTGGGTCTTTGATCTGCAGAAATTTCTGTTCCCCAGTCTTGGGGAATATTCATACGTCATACGATTGTTCTGGATTGAGCTGGATATTTGCTCAATTTTGGGATTTTAGCTTCCATTATAAAACTTGGTATATTTAAGTCATCTGCAATGCATGCCCCTTGAAAAAAAGGAATAACTTTGATTCCTGTTCTGTTAATGTCTAGTGGAAGCGCATCAACTAGAACTCGAAGAACAATTGTTGGTGTAGTTCAAAACGCTTTAGTTTGTAGAGTCATTAGATTATATCGATGCCAGGAAACTGAAGAATTTCTCACTGTCCTCGCCAGAATTAGAACTCCGTACTTCCGGAATACGAGTCGAGTGTGCTCCCAGTTACATCCCAAAGGCATGCGGAGAGAAAGAAGAAAAGACCTTATAAGTTATATATGTAGCAGTAATAATCATTGAATCTGTAACAATTTATTTGTTATTCTTACCGTGACACTGTAATGCCACTATACAGGGCAACCGTATAACATTAGTCTTTCATCTACTCTTAAATACAATTCTTCTCATATTTTCCCTCTAAATCCCCAATTTATGCGTCATAAGAAGATTTAAATAATTTACATCTGCGTGTGCTCGATCTCGAACTTCCGGAAGATACAGAATCCAGCTTAAATGTTTTATCAAGAATAAACCTTATATATTTTAATGTACCATTAATTTTGAATAGGAACATTCTTTCATCGTAATCTTGATTGATTTTTTACCAGTTTTGAATCCTTAAGAAATGTTATCATTTTTGTGTTAATGCTATAAAAACTAAGTTTACATATATCACTCTATTTTTCTATAATTTTTAATATTTTTTTACTTTTCGTTTTAAATCTGTTCAATTTCTACCACCGACAATGAAGATGCTTAGCCATTAGCATGTGCTTGAAGACATATAATTTCCTAAGTCCTTTAATGCAGTATTAGCCATAACATTCAAGAAAATTGGACCTGATTTAGATCCATGAGATGCGTCTTTGTAATAATTTTTGAAGCCATTGACACTCTCTTTTATAGATGACTTTTCTATTATGAAGAAAAATTCTTCAATTAATTTCACGCATTTTCTGGCTAATTAAGATCTTGGAGTGTGGCTAGTAAACTTGGTCACCAAATACTATTAAAGGCAGACATTATTACATTGGCTATTAGATTGTCTACTGCATCCACTGTTCTTTTATTAGGCGTAAAGCCAAATTGGTACTGATGTAATAGTTTATTATTCAAGAGAAAGTACATGCATCTTTGTCATCTTTGTGTTAGTAGTTTATCTAAAGCTTTCTCCCAAGTAGAAAGATAGCAGATCGGTCAGTAGGCTTTCGGATCTGATTTATATTTGGTTTTTAGGAAAACAGCCCAAAATTAGCGACTTTCATTGACTCTGGAAAATAGTTAAATTTAAGGCAAGATAAAAATGGGTAAAAAAGTTCGCTATTTTTCATTAATGTTCTTCAACTATTTGTAAAAGTAAATTTGCGATTAAAGTTTTTCAACTAGTTTTAAAGTAATTCTATCTAAACCTGACGCTCTACCTTTATCTGCTATTTTAAAGGTATCTAAATTTCATTATGTAGGGATCATTTTGACTTCTCATAGTAGAATCAGCATTTTGACTTCTCATAGTAGAATCAGCGTCACAGTATGTTCTGCAGTATTTGCCGAGGTATTATCTTGTGGAAAGTGATAGGAAATAATGTATAACCACTGTTTCTTTGACATGCATTGTAAATGAACCATCTTGCATTGTAAATGAACCGTTTTTGACGTATTAGAACTTCCTTATCTTGGTAAGCTATAAATGCAGCTTCAACTTTGTCTTGGGTCTTTGATCTGCAGAAATTTCTGTTCCCCAGTCTTGGGGAATATTCATTATTCCCCAAATATTCATACGTCATACGATTGTTCTGGATTGAGCTGAATATTTGCTCAATTTTGGGATTTTAGCTTCCATTATAAAACTTGGTATATTTAAGTCATCTGCAATGCATGTCCCTTGAAAAAAAGGAATTTGTTTGATAAAATTGCAAAGGAAAGATGCTGTTTCCTTTTGCGAAATTATAGTAAGTGCAAAACGGCGACTTGGGAGAAAGATTTTCCCAAAATTTATTCCAGGAAATAATCTTGATTTTATGAATATTACATTCACAATGCGCTTCCTCTTTTCTTTAAATGATACGAAGTTTTTTCTCTCCAACTTACACTCCAAAGTCTCACTCTAATATCTCCGATTCCGCGCTCTTAATTTTTCCTTTGAATGGTTAATTCTTTTGCCTACCAATGATAGGACTTAGGAAAGGTCTTGAAAGTTTTATTTGTAATTTAATTTCTGTATCATTATACAGATAATGTAGCTCCTTTGTAATCAATGTGGTTAATTTTTCTATTAATTTCTTGTATTTAAATCTCTAGTATATTGAAAGTTAGTAAATATACCTCCTTTTAAAGTTATCTAATCAGTCTCGCAGGGTTTCATTCTCTGTTCATTTCTTTGCAAAATTAAGACATTGTCTAATTCGAATGAAATAATCTGGTGGTCTCTTAGACTAATATTATCTTCCCCCTTCCAGTTATTAATACATAAATCACCAAAGATTACTACCATGGTAACTATACATGATTCTCTTCGATTGGCTTATGCATGTGGCTGGATTGTTGGGGTCATTGCATAATGTAATACCTTAGGCAGCTATAAAATCACAAGCCTGAGGCCCTCTGGACTTGGAAGCATCAAGTGTGTCTTCTGTTCACCTATTTTAGAGTAAAATAAAGGATTATTTACAGCTTTCATAAGTCTCTGTTGTACTTACTTATACATAGCGATAAATCGCTTCGTCGCAATTTAAAGTAGTGAAAGACATTAAAATTTATAGAATAATACAGATTTTTTTTTTTTTTTTTTTTTTTTTTTTTTGTATATTCTAATTCTTATTTTAGACAACTACAAGATTTGACTTCCGCATCACGAATAGTACCGAGATCCAATTTATACCTTTATAGGATAGTCCTTTTTGTACCTTTGATTTGTTTGCTTGCAACTGATACAAAATTCCAGAGCTGGGCAGCCTATTTTGATATGTTCCATGTCATAGCATCTAGAGCATCTTTATTCGGAATAGCAGTATATTTTGTATGTCCGTTATTAAAGCATTTGTGACACTGAGTCATTCTAAGAAAATCTCATACCATTTCTTACCCATTTGAGATTTACACATTGATTTTTAACTATAAGCTAGAAAGAATAGGGATCTACTTCCAGCAACCAACTGTTGTCGTATTTTTGTTTCGTTGAAACTTTTACGCCAAATACCGCGTCTCCATATATATCGTTTTGTCTTCGTTTAGTGTCTAAAAGACTTTCCTTTGTAGGTTCATTTACATTGTTCATTAACAGGGATTAATTTTTGTGGGCGGCTTAATGTCCACTGTGTCCTTAAGATTTACATTTTTTTAACTATCTGTTTAATAAGTGCCATTTTATACTTTCTGACCACTTCTATTAGTACTTCGCTACTTTTTTTTTTACTTAATACAGACTTTTATTTTTGTCTGATCAATATTTTGTACTAAGTAATTTTTCACTTACTCTGAAGTTTCTTTCTGATTCTTTGGGCATACTGAAGCTAAATGTCCTTCTTCACCTTTTATTCTTCGCGAGGAGGGTCTAGATTTGAATCTAGCTCGTTTTGCACTGATTTTGCTGCGCTTCTGCCATGTATCTCTTTCTTGCTCACCTCTGAGCTGTACTTGCAAGTTTCTTGTTATGTTTCTGTACACTTCGTCCTGACCTTCTAATTTAACCATTCGCAGATACTTTTCGGCCATTAAATGGAGAAGATAGGTGAATATATGACGTGTTTTAATACCACAATGTTTAGGAAATAAGTATATAAATATTGCTAAAAAAGCATATAAATCATCCATACATCTATTTGCTTCCGAAAAGAAGGCCTTAACGACATTGATTTCTAGTAAATTCTAGTTTATAGTAGTATTAGTATAGATATAGTTTTCATCTTCTCAAAATCTAGAAGCAGTAAAAGAACAAATCATAGACACTAGATGAATGAGTTTCTATCTGTCTGATCTATTGCGTACGAAACATTAAAGCTACATTAGTCAACATGTTCCACAGAATCAAAGCCCTACTTGCTATTCATTATTCTACAGGCATTACATGTGGTTGACAAGATTAATTTTCCACTGCATTATAGGTAACATACGGCAATCACAATGGCCAAGATCGCTTATTTCAAAAATCACCATGCTAAAATTCTACAAGTCTATATCATATATGAGTAGTATTTTATTATTAAGACATTAACTACCGTCATGTGTAATGAAAGACTTTTTAATTGTCAGAGGGATAATTGCATTTATATAGTTACTATTTGTAACCATATAACTAATTTATATGTGTCATACATTATTTATTGTATATACTTTAATTCATGCATCTTGCATATTATTTATTCACCAGGTAAATAAACGAAATAAGTTTCGATTGTTAAGGAGCCTATTTTTAGTCCAAAGGGGCTTTGTCCCTGAAGGACTATTGATTTCGTTTTGCGCTTTTGGGTTGAATCACTATAAGCGGCGAATCACGTTTCAAACTGTTGCCATCAAATGGTAGAGTCCTGCATTATATTCGAAGAAATTAAATAATGAAAAATCTGCATAAACGTAATTTCTCGCATTGTGATGTATATTTCTCGTATTGTGATAAAACAACGGTACATAGTGTCATCGAATTTTGAATGACGTAATCCTCCTACGAATATGGGCATGTGGAAGAACAAATTTGAAATTTAGAGTTTATTTTATTATCAGTTTCATAATTTGTAAAACTTTAACGAATTTTTAATTAATAAACTCAAGGATTTCAAAGCGTATAATGGTAACACTCCACGAGGGGGGAAACCTTTTTATCTCCAGCGCGCGGAACTATATATTGGAAACTCTAAAGATATGCTCAATTTAAAACTTTTTTGCGATATTGCTATTGAACTGAATTTTATGGTTTAAGTGCAAAGAACGTGATATTTAATAAATAAATGTAACACACAAAATGTTAAAAAAACGCCCCTTGGGACGTAATTTAAAATCTGAAACATTTCAGTTTTTTTCCCATAAAAGCACATAATATTTTTGATTCTTGAAAAAGAACTTTTCTGTAAAAATTATTTTTACTCATAAAGTTGAATTTAGCCTACCATGCTTCTCCGTGCCTATTAACAGCACTGGAAGTTGAGCGGCAACTCAGATTATTCAGACTAGACTAGTGGAGGGCGAACTGAATATGTGTCAAAAAACTCATTTCGATAAGTAGACTGGTAGACTTTTTAGTTTTATGTATGTTCAATATTGCTGGCGCTTGTTGTCTTAGCGGTGAAAACATTTCCCTCTTGCTCCTCCGAAACTATTCCTCCGTTTTAGCGAATGCTTCTAACAAGGCGAGAATCTTAGACAAAAGTGCAGTGTCGCCATCTATGAATGATTTTGGGCTTTAAAATAATATGGAGCTGTTTTCACTCGCAAAAAAATGGTACCTCTGTGTAGAGTAATTTATTCAAGACTGCATTTCTTTGCATGGTAGAAAATGAGGACATTGTGTTTTGTTCAGAGTATATTAGGAAAACTTATTTTTTAAGATCTTCATGCTCTGAAGTTGCCTAGAAACTGGCGAGATCTTCTTGTGAATTTGGCAGAATTTAATTCACGGAGCAGAGCAGATTCAAACAGCACTAAAATCTCGTATGCCAACGTATGATCATCATCTATAAATCGACTTTTATTTCAGTGTGAAGCTACAGAATTAAATACGAATCTTTTGCAATTTGAAATTAACGTTGCAATTTCTTTCCATTCTCTCAAAAAAGAAAACGAAAAATAAAGATGATCTTACGAAAGATCTAGTGATATTTTTTGTATGTTTTATATTAAGTTCATTTCTCTGAATATCTATAAAGATGCCACACGTCTTTAAAAAGTACTTCTTTAATTCCAAGTGTTTGATAAAAAAAGCAGAATATTAGAATCATAAAAGTAGAAATAAAACATTATTTTATCATTATAATGCAATCAATCTGGAATGAAACGAAGACACACGTGTATGTCTGAAAATTAATTGTATTGTGTAACAACATAAATTTTTAATACAGTAAAATTTTCAGATGGAAATTAAGCATCAAGTAACTTGGTCTCATTCAGTTTATCTCCTTTTAATGTATTTGTGTACTATTATTTAATTTATGTTGAGGTTAAATAAATCATTACTTACTCATAATTTATTTAAAAGCGGACGCTATAGTTCCATATCACAAATGAAAAAGTGGTCAATTAATTTTGGCCATTCTGCAATGGACAAAAACTCATCCCATCGTATGTTGAACGTAATCGCTCAAGGGGAAATCAGATGATTGACATAGCTATTAGGAGTATCGTATTTACAAACTCAGCCTTGGGAAAGCCATACTGGGTATTGCCGAACATTATCTTCTGAAACCAAACTCGGAAAAGGTTTTGCTGCTCAGGTACGATTGGTAATAAAACTTGTAATAGAATATTGTTGATATATTATGCTACCTTTCAAGTGGTACGGAAGACCATCACTGGCATCTGGTTCTCATTAGAAAATGACTGTTTAAATTAAGACTCATCTAGACGTTATGTAGCGCTCCTCAATAAAGGCAGATTACGTGTGCTAGAAAACTTCTGGCGCATTAAGAACCGCGATTCACTACTAAAGATCACACGCCTACTTAGACACTATTTGCATGTTGATCATAACTCCCACTGTACATAATGCTGGGTAACTGATGCTCAGTACTAACTGATAGGCAACCCAACATCCTAGAATACGGTGTCTTATTTGACAAATAATGCTCCGGTTGATGCCTTTTCAGCTCAATGATACATCTTCTTTCGGTTCCACTTATTGGCTCGTGACACACACAACCTCAAAGCTGCGATTTTCTTAGCATCAGGGTGCTAGCTATACAAATTCTTAATCCACTGCCGAAATTAATTGGCGTTCCTGTTTTTCTTATAGCCTCTGTGATACGCCTGTTTTCATGTGCTATAGCAGGCATCTACTCGGATGTGAATATTTTTATTTTAATGAATATTTTTAATGTGAATATTTTTATGTCTGAAGTATTTTCATGTCGAATTTAACAATGTATAAAAGCGAATCTTTTAATTTTCCTCGAGAATTCCAAATGAACTCAAATTACAATATTGCTACAGTACTCAGTTCGAGTAGTGTTTAGTCACACATTGTATACAAAGCAGATAAAAACAGCTTTTCTTTTCTAGTTCGTTTGAGTGGAGGTCAGGGTCAGAGCGGAGAAGGTCGCTTGGAGGCATACAGTTTAATTACGGACAGTTGGCAACCGGTGTGTGGTGACCAGTGGGACACCTCAACGATGAGTCCCAGGGCCTGTGCCATGCTTGGATATAAGTAAGTAAATTATTATTAATAGTAATAAAAGTATTAAAAATTCCTATAAATAAGTTTTAATGAAACATTACGTACTCAAATTTAAGAGTAAAACTAATATAAAATTTTTGTAATGTGATTACATATATTTTCTTATTCTAATAGGGGGACAGGAAAGTAATGTTGTTTCTGCGCATGTCGACAACAACATGCTAAGGGCAAATGTAGAAGCAAATCCATGTCAAACACTTTTACCAACTTTTGTCGACCATCCAAGAACATTTAAAGCAGAATGGAAAAATAAGCAAAGCAGGTGTTTAAGTCCCCATAATCTGTCCGAAGAGAACAAAGCCAACCGATCCATCACATGCAACGTATTGCTTCAACGGCACCATACAGAAGAGTTTTTTGATTATTTGATTACTGGAGACGAAACGTGGATACTATATGATAATTCAAAACGCAAAAGTCAGTTTTAATAGGGGTTTCAAAGGGTTTACATCTCAAAAAGGTGCTTCTGTGTGTTTTGGTGGAGTATTCGCGGAATTGTTCATTTTGAATTGCTGAAACCTGGACAAACTGTTAATGCAGATCTTTTACTGTGAACAATTGGATGGAGTGAACGAATCTTTAATCGAAAAATATCCGGCGATTGTCAATAGAAAATGCATCATTCTGCAACACGACAGTGCAAGACCGCACTGTGCAAGACGGACACTGGAAAAAAGGAATGAATTGGGACGGGAGGTGCTGCATCACCCACCATACTCGCCCGATATCGTACACTCGGATTTTTATTTATTCCGATCCCTACAACATTTTCTTAGTGCCAAAAAATTTGAAAATTTGAATGATGTCCAAAATGCCATCTTGAGATATTTTACTCAAAAACCAATTGATTCATATCGGTCCGGGGATTGAAAATCTGCACACTAGATGGCAAAAGGTTGTTGATAACGAGAATGATTACATTATTGATTAAAAATAAAAACGTGTTAAAAATTTATTCGTGTTAATTTAATGTAAGAAAGCGACACTACTTTCCGGTCCCCCTATTATTATATTTTTAGAAGAAAAATGTCGAATATAGCTCTTTAATATCAACAAAATTTAATTTCAGACTGCTATCTTTTTAAGAAAATGTTCGATGAATTTCGGGAGAATATAACACGTCTATCTTCTTCAAAAAGCGAAATCAACGGCAGAATATTTTTGCCCGTTGAGAAATACGTTTCATATTTCTCGAAATGCATGTAACACAATTTCAAATGTGATGCTGACCCAATTCTAAATTTTTCTTAATCGTGAAATTTTGTGCCTACGATTTTTACAATATTTATATTGCGACTATTTGTCCACAAAATCTTTCTGAAAAATACAACACAAAAGGGCAACTCATTTTTAATAAAGAATATTGCTCATCTGTAGCCTTAATAGTGCACCTTTGTGACTGTTATTAATAAGATATATTAAGAGTTAGCTTTTGAGTTACTATATTTTATCCTTCGTGGCTCATGCCAGAGTTTTCTCTCAAAGCAAAATATTATGCAAATTACAGTATAGTGTAAAATCTGGCATACAGTACAGTGTAAAATATACAGGCAGACAGTGCAGTGTAAAATGTACAGGTATACAGAACAGTGTGTACAGTACACTGTACACTGTATTATACAGTACACTCTTCTATACAGTCCACTGTACAGTACAGTGTAAAATCAGTGCATGCAGTACAGTGTAAAATTAGGAGTTTAACTTGTGGCATATTATCGTTCGTAGCATCGCCCAATCTCGCTATAAGGTTTTAAGTCTTTCAGTATTTGTAACTAGGAACCAACACTTTGGTAGATGCTAAGTGACTTATCGCTGTCTGAAGTACAACAAAAACTTGAGAAGTGTGTAAAAGACCCTTTTTTAAAGCTTAATAAGATGAATATAAGCGACACCTGTTGCTTACCACTCTCCCAGCATTTATGGCGAGAACCTCAATGTAGAAATTCAAATGTAAACCTAAATTTAAATAAATAACATCCAAAATCTACACAGCGCGAAATTGATTTAACGCGAAGTTGGTTCGGACATCACTGGCGTGAATTTAGATATCGTCAAGTATAATGCAAGGCCGAAGACTAGAATTCTTATCTTAGAACAGCAAACATAGTAACGTGTCCTTCAACAATACGATGCAGCTTACGAATACGATGTCTGTGCAGAATACGATGTGCCTTAACAATCTTAAATCCTCACTTAAATACACGTAACTCATTGAATCACTGAGTTGAACATTCAATCATTTGCATTTTGACGGGAAAACGGGAAGAGAGGAGTGACAGTAAAGATTCAAAACATAAAACAACTGTATTCAAATTAAAAGAAACCTCCTATTACTAAAAAGGAGTTTCTGCTGAATCCGTGGAGGACGATAAATTACTTACTTGTTGTTAAGTTGGCAAATGATTAAAAGTTTTAATTATAGTTTTAACAAAATAAGTATTAAACATTGAATAAGAATATTTGTACAGTAAAAGAATATTTATTCTGCAAAATCTTGAGTTATAGGGCAAGCAGCCTCAGCTTTGTGACAGTTTTACTTCTTTAAAATGATTATCATTCAACGAATTTCACTCTGGTAAATGATTTGTGTTACAGTTTCAGTTATAAATCACCAGGAGTGACTTAATTAATTTTATTTTCACTAGACTTAAATATTGTGTTGATAATTAAGTACTAGTTTTTAAAGATGATATTCACCTACAAGCTAAGATAACTCTGTGTGTTAGCCGTTAGGTTTCATGTTCACTATCAATAAATTTCACATCACAGAGTTAGAACTTCCAGGGCAAAACAATGCTTAGAACTAGGATATCATTTAATTTTAATTTAAGAAAATAAAATTTATAATTTTCGTGATATAAATAAAATTATCTAAAGAGATTAAAATTTTATATGTATGTGACTGCAACGAGTCATTCGTTCTTGTACAGAAATGTTAACTTTATTGTTGGGCGCTGAGAGAAATTATTTCTAAGAATGCATACAAATAAAACACGGAACTAACTTACGCCTTATATATCTGCAAACTTGAGGCTAAAATCGACACGTTATTCTTACTAATTGACAGGTATTCTTCTTCTTCTATGCTTTTTCTTGAATCAATAAGCTGAATTATTTAATAATGCAGCTGTCATAGTCGCTATAAGTTTACCAGTTTGATGTTACTAAGTGCTGCCAAATCAATTAAAACAACTTTCTTGTGTTGCGGTTAATTCACTGTTGTTCTGTAGCAATGCTGTTCTAAAGCAATGTTCCATCAAATTATCTTTTCAGGAGCGTCAAAGAAACTCGATTGAGAGATGAGGCATTCCCAGCTGAGAACAGAGTAGCTGTCGGAACAGTCATTGATGTCAGACGTCAAATGAAGTCTCTTTTCTCCAGGAGCCAGTAAGTTAGCTTTCATTTACAAAGCCATTTTCTTAGTCGCAACAGTTGTCTTTTGTTAAAAATTAAGCAACTGTGTTCTGTTGTTTTATGAGCCTGTACTTTACCAATGAATAATGAAATCAATGTTAGAACAAGCCAGATAAATAACTTCAAAAGTGTATGCAAATGTAGAAGAAGAGATTCTGAATTCAAATTTCAATCAAATAACGAATTGTGAAGTAGAAGTAGGAAACATGGCAAGAAGGCACATCGATTAGTCATATTGCTCAGACCAGAAAATATTTACTTTCAATATTAAAAGGAAATACGAATGTGGAATGTATGACTTTCCAATGAAACCGTTTGCTGCTGGCTTCTGCAGCGTAGAGGCAAAAGTATCGATTTGCAAAAGTCTAAAACACAGTTCCAAGTTCGATTTGACATCCAGTCGTTGCAAATTTTGCTTGTTATTTGTCTGGCGATATAAAATTATATTTAGAGTAATCTGAATAACAAATTTAAGTATAGTAAGCTTAACAGAAATGAGAATAAGGACTATAGAATAAACAAATATTAAATTTAAAAGAACACTTTCTTTCATTGATAAGTAAATAGAGATATTAACACTCTAACGTTATTTAAATAAATTTACATAACCATCCATATTTCGTTCAAATTAAAATGTAATCCATTTTTAAAGTAATTTCCAACTAATAATTTAGAAACATTTGAAGTAAGAAAGCAAATCCATAATATCATAAACCTGTTAGATATAACAAACATCTAGGATAATATCTTTAAAATGTTTGCTCAATGCTGTCTGTAACAATGGGTTATAGTACTTATTTCTACAACTGACTGTTTGTTTTTTCCTTTATAAAGCAAAGGCTGCGGAGAAGACAACGTTTACGTTTATCTAAAATGTCAAGATTTCGGTGAGTGCAAAACTTTCATTATTCAACAGTATAGTTAATGTAATTTCTGTGTTTCATTAAATATGACAACCAGAGATTTTTTTCTTAATCTGGAGTTCATAAATTGAAATTGTACTTATTATTAAAAACCGACGCTGTCATAGATGAGAAAAATTCGTGCTTGTGAAATCGTTGTGTAAAAAATACTAAAATACACTAAGAAATTAGAAATGCACACTTCCACCCATGAATTCCATTTTGAAGCATTAGCTGTTTCAAAATAAAGGTTTTTGTTTACAAATTGAAAAGGCAGTGGGCAATCGATTATTAGTTGCAAGTTCAATTATATAGAACAGTTCTCCTTTCGTAAAGGGCCCACCAGCGGCCGAGCGGTAAAGTCGCTGAACACTGGTAGTTCGGTCCGAGGTTCGAATCCCGCGAACGGGCTGGCTGCATGGGTGTTTTCGTGGTTTTCCCCATGTGTAAAGTGTATACGAGCCAGTTTCCCTTAGAAAGTCCTCCACGAAAGGCATCCCTCCTCTTAGGCAGATAGCCCTAGTGTGCTTTGCCATAATTACGAGTAAATACACCGACACACCGACACCGACCTTTCGTAAAGCGGGACGTTTTCCTCCTGCCTTGATAAAGCCTACAATAGTTGGATATTTCAATAGAAAACTTTAAAGATAATCACCGGCTTTCATTTAATTAAGCAATAATAACAGATTCACTACCTATATTGTATGTAATCTTATGCGTACAGAGAATCCAGAAATAATGTTTACACTGTTTAAAAATTAATTTGTCTACAGTATTTAAATATTAATTTAAAATAAACTGTTAAAGATGACTTAATTGGACTCTTTGCATTTGATACCGCAGTGCCTGCGTTGATTGCGTGAGCGCATTCAGCCAGTCTCTTGTTTTCAGTTCAGCAGGTGGCATGCATTAGTGTACATGCCATGGCAGAGTTCACCTCATTGCTTTCTCGAGCAATGTAATTGAATTTTAAAATGCTGTTGGAAAAGAGAAAATGTGCATAAGTTTCAAGGCTGATGGAAGGCATAATTTGATACTTCATATGTAAAGACAACGACCATAACCTTAACCAACCACCTGAATATCTAAAACGACCATAACCACTACAAAATTACAGCTCTGAGCCAAAATAATTGTATTGATATGTGAAGAAGGGACGGGGCGCAGGAATAGATCAACAACAAATGAAAGAAATGTGGAGACTTATTTACAAACTTTCACAAAATCTCAAAGAAAAGCCACGGACAGAGGATTTTACGAGACATGGAACTGAGACTGTCTGTGCTGTGCCTCCGTTTCAACTGAAATCAAATCCGCTGTTTGTTGATCTATTCTACAGCGTTATAGACTACGTAACACTGCCACTAGTAGCTATTTTGAACATTAACTTATGTAATAGCAAAACCACAAAAAGCGTTTCATATTTTCTGTTGTTAGTGTTTCTCTTTCTACTGTTGAGAGAGTGTAAACATTATTTTGGGATAGTCTTTATTTACATTTTCATATTATTCAATCAAACGTGCTTGTTCAATAAGCAAGCATACATGATTGAAGTTCAAACACTGAGAAAACATATTGTTCTTATAAAAACTGGGTCATAAATTAGAACATGGACCTAACTTACTAAAAAAACTTTAGAACATGAACTTCTTTATTTTGCTGCCTCTCTGCTAGTTGGATAACGTTTATAACAAGCAAACAAAACTGAAATCAAAGCATTTCAGTTATCAGGTTCAATGTTCCGTCTTACTTTCTTTGGGAACATGCAAGGACCTGACTCGGAACAGAGAGCTTACTAAAGCTATGTTCAATAACTGTGGGAAGTAGACAGGATACACAAGAAGGGTATACAAAACCCTTTATTTTTCTCTCGTTACAATAATTTCCGTACTTCGGAATACAAAGACCAACTACTTGTGGTCTAAACGTAAGAATATAAAAATATAACTAAACTCTAACTTGACTTTGAAATAATAAACGTGGAAGATTGGCCTTATATTAACAGGAAGCCGTATGTAGTACAGAGAACTTTTAACACTACAATACGTTTAAAATTATCAAGGGGATTAAACCTCTGGCCTGGAAGGCAACCAGCAACTGAGTAAAACTTCTAAGGTAAGCGGTCTGCTTCGACTAATTCCTTCCTCTCGCTTGGCAAAAAGCCACAACTTAAGTACTTGGCGTTCGCCAGACAAATTTTGCATAAATAAGTTAACGCTTTTAATTCTGGCCGGAAGTAGAAAATAAGAAGTGATAGTAAAGATTTAAAATAAAATAAACGTTAGTAAAACTTAAGATCCTTACACAGTAATGAAATTTGTTTTATTTTTATTGAAAAAACTTTATTTGTTTAAAATTAGGTATGTTTTAAATTAATTGCATTAATTAACGTTAGATTGCATTAAAATCATAACCTTTTTTCGTAATTTTCAGACTTCTGAAAATAGCGACTGCCAATTTATTTTTGCTACTAATCATATATTCAAACCACGAACCCCACCATCAATTTTAAATGCTGCTATCCAAAGATAAACAGCAATTCTATTTTCTATTATTAACAATAAAATTATTTTTGCTATTAAACTTCTGTTAAGCATAAACTTCTGTTAAGTTTCCATTCTCATTTAAGAGTGTGGCAAGTCAGCAATAAGTATGGGTGGCAACAAACCATCTTGGAGAATAGTAGGAGGCAAGGAATCAGAGCCTGGTGCTTGGCCATGGTTAGTTGCTCTTCACGGAGGACCAGATGAAGTCTTTTTCTGCGGTGGCGTCTTGCTGTCTGAGTGGTGGGTGCTCTCCGCAGCCCATTGCGTTGGGAAGTAAGAGTTTTAGATTTATATTTTATATTTATTTCTGGAAAGGGTAAAAAAGGATGTATCTCTGAAATGTTCCTACTTGCTGCTAGTGAGAATGTTTTTAATAAAACTCAGTTGCTTCTGTAACAGGTATACAACGTATAACGTTAGAAACATCATATATTAATTACAATAATATTGCAGGATTTTCGTAAAAATTATATTATTATTATTATTATGGGCATATTCTATTTTAAATCAATTTAAATCATTAGACTTACCATTTAAAGTTGTAATTCAAAAGTGATCACCAAGGCCAAATGTTTAAAGATGCTTTGTGGACTGAGGATAACCAGTGTAATGGGTAGCAACAAATTTAGATCGATTGATTATTAAAACAAAATTAAATCGAAGGGCATCAGTCATCTTAAAAGTAGGCATTTGTCATGAGTAACCTATGAAATGACAGTCACTGTGTGGCCGAAATGAAGTAAATTCATCCAGAGTATTAAAATTAATTCGAAGATCACAAATGACCTTATGGAAAAGCGTAATATACTTACCTAGATTATTAAAGTAAAATTTAACCCAAGGACAATGGTGCTTCTCAAACCCATTGATCATAAGTCAATGTTATGAAGCGATGCGATAAATATAAATGAAATGAAAAAGAATGAGTTTAAATAAATTAAAACTGTAGAACACCAGCGAAGTAATCAGAAACCAGAATGACTGAAAGATGAAAGTGTGTGGCAATGTAATATTTCTTGCAATGACGTTCATGCGAAACGTGTGAGTAATAACTGAATAGAAGCATAATTTAATATAAAGCTTAAAAAATTATGAGAAAGCTCTGGTAAGGAAACTTCTGAAGTCAAAACATTAAATTCTTCCATATGTATTGCAGTGTAAATGCTCATATACGTGCGAATATCAAAAATTATTTTCGCTCTTGTTTCTTTCAATTCATTTACACTTAAGTGCGGATGAAGAAGTACATGAATTCTACTAAACCTCCATTATTTTCTATGTAGCTGGTCCTAAGGCCTACAAGCTTCCGTGATCCCTCTAAGTAAATGTTTTCAGTTGGTGAAGCAGCCATTTATGTATCGCTTCCCATACTTCTTTGCCCGAAGAAAAGCTTCTTTAAGCAATCCAGAGAGATGACAATCGGGAAAAAGCAAATTCTAGGATACAAGACAATGTGTTCCAGCAAACTGAAACACAAATAATTAATAATTTGAACAGTCTTATGCTTTACATTAAGTTCTGTTGGCACCCATCTGCAAAGAAAATGATGTCAAGATCAATCTTTGGCCATGTGATCAAAAATGCATCACTCTAAGCATGCTCTCCCCTCTAGTATAATAAATTTAAATATGTATTAATGAAAGTGCAAATATTACTTTTAAAATAAGCTGCATGTATAATAAATAATGTTATGCTTTTAAATATCCCAGGTGTCATTCATTGTAAACTAAAATAAATCTTATAGGATTTAATGTTCACTGTTTGATAGCTTAATGTTCACTATTAGGAATACGGTCTTTTAAATGATTTTGATGATTTGTGTGTTCGTTATTAGATAATTTTCTACATCTCAAATGAATGCTTCACATGGAAATTATCCAGAGTAACATGAGTCTAGTAATCAAGCAAACCTGCATAAATAATATCGAGGTAACAAAAACCATAAGTATACGTATTTTTAAATTATAATCCCGGACTCTAAGCCGTTCGATATATAAGAAGTGGGAATGTTCTAAAATGTAAGAACTGAAAGTAAATGTAATTCCAAATACCTAATTACAAGCGATTACATGTGAACAGTCATATAATGGGCAGGTCATAACAGAAAATTTGCTGTTATTTAACACAAATCATAAATACACATGAGGTAGAAGGATCTCCCGATGTGGCTAATGGCCATCCATGTTCTCAAAAAACTACGAAACCGGAGTGCAGAAAGAAGAAGGCTTATCGTCGAAACGGTTAACTTTGTAGAATATGTACTTTGTCGTATTTATGTCACGATATTACGTCAAATAACAATGCAATAAAAGTAAAGTAGTATCTCAACTATTTCCCTCAAAGACTCAGGTTTCCAGCTCTGAAAGAGTCCACCGTTTTTCTTAACCTTCTCCCTCAAATTTAAAGACAGGCTCCACTTCCATATTTTCTGGCTTTTCTTTACCTATTTATACATTTATGACACTTGCCCAAAGCAAACAATATTTCTGTTATGTTCGTCCCATCATACAATTACATATATAAAATCGTGAGCGAATTTAGAACGTGGGTGGTTTGAAAATATATCGATTTTTACTTCAAATTCTTTTACACTTTTAGGACTTCATATCAATAGAATCTGGGCTTATATTTATGGATTTTAATTTTTTGTGATATACGACTCAATGTTTGTGATTTACGATACATTTGAATTTAATTTGATTACTGAACTTCGTTTTCCCTTTAAACCTTTCTCTTACCATAAATTTTACTTCCTGATTGAATCTAAAATTGGTGTCATCAACAACAGTCAAATGCTATATGATAAATCTGAAGAACTATCTTATCTTTCTTATATCAGTAAACTAATTCTATGCCATGGGATATTTTTGTTGAATTACGTTCAATAAATAGAATTACTAAGAAGCTTTCTACTGACATTAATAAGCTGATGTCAATATCGTTCCAGCCAAAGCGATCCAAGTGGGTGGAGTCTGAAATTGGGAATGACTCGTCGTCCCTCTCATCCTTCTTTCACACAAAGCAGGGGTGTGTCTCAGATAGTTCGGCATTCCGGTTTCAGTTCTGTCAGTCTCTACAGTAATGATATCGTCCTTATCCGTCTCGACAAACATGTCACATTCGACGCCTTCTTGAGACCGATCTGTCTCCCTCCGCATAACATGCCTGTCTCAGAACTCCAGTCCTGCACTGTCATTGGCTGGGGTAAACAACAGCACGATGATGGTAAGTTATTTTCTTCATTAATCTCCATTAGTGCTGCATCTGGTTCCCTAGTACGATTCTAAACATAAAATTAAAGCAGTATTATCATTTTAGCATATCTGAGCTGATGTTTTATATGTAGAAACTGCTCGACAAAATCTTAAAGAATAGTAAAACGTAAAAATGAAGTATGGCTAACGAAATTTCATCAAGAGAGGTATGATTAATCATGAAATTGATCTGACTTTTTTGCCGTTTTCCAGGCTACTGTAGAACTTAAAAACAAAAGAAAATTATCATTGTGATCTTGCCAGATGTAAGGAACTGGTGGACACAACTTTCAGGAATGACATGGGAATTTTTTTAATACTGCGTGTCTGGTGGAATGGGAAATGTGAACGCAGAAATAATTTAAGTGGGAGAACACGGAGAACGAAAAGTCTTTTTAATCACTGATATCGGCAACAGCTATAAGGTATTTCTCCCGCCTTCGTAGTGTAGTGGTGAGCACACTCGGCGCATATTCGAGAGGCCCGTGGTTCGAGTCCCGGCGAAAGCGTTGCTCATTTTTCATCTGTCTTGCTTCGAAATAACCTACTGTCTCTACAGATCTGATGTTTCATACTTACAACAATTATTACAAAAATGAACAACCGTCAACTGAAGTACATGACTCACAATGACAAAGAAATGATTGTTATACGCTCTGAAAGATGCTGCCCTGCATGTAACGTACTTCTACGGCAACGGCCCTAATTCTGTTGACAAAGTCTTCAGGAAAGTCTACTATGCGTCTTGTAAACAGTATCAGTTGTCGTTCTGATACATGTATTGCTACTGCTGGTCGTTCGACTGAATAAGTCTTGTAAACATCAAACACTTTTTCTCGTAAATACCCGCGATTAAAATTACTTCTAATTTTTCATGTTGCTCGTATTTGCTGTAACTTCGCTTTCACATTTCACGTTCCACTGGGCATTATATTATGCAAATTTTGCCTTTTGTCATGTTCTATCTTTTCTTAAAGTTGGGCCAATTAATCCTATTATACCTTGTATATCGAAAAATATAGTAATTAAAGTGACAAAGAAGGAAATGCAAAACGTATTTTTTTCTCTAAGAAATGCAGCCCTTTATGGTGCATATAACATTTATACAAAATATATTATTTGTTTTAGTAACAGGTCATTTACAAGCATAAAAAATTAGAAATTAATACATTTAAAACTATCTTGGAAAGATGCAAAATAAAACCAAAAATACTGTCACATATACGTTCGCATGTTGATGGTAATGACTTCCCTAGCAAAGTCCCTGATTTGTCATTGTATTGTGAAACATTTTCAGGACATTTCTATTTCTGATTTTATTCTGGTACTCTTCTTCGTTTCGCAATCTTTGGTGGAAGTAAAGCAGAAGTGAAATTTATATAACATAATTATTGAAAGTAGTATTTTTATATCTAATTGTTGCGTTTGAGATAATTTATATATTTCTATAAATTTTATGTATAGCATCTGTTATTCATCACAAATAGTATTATTCTAAATTAAATAAAAATAAATTACTAAACAGTCTTTTATTCTTTCATGAGTAATCTTAGAGATCTCTATCAGAAATAATTCAGCTGTAAATAAGACATTTGCATGATGACGGTGTGTTGCTTCATCTCAATTTTTATAGTCTGTACACATGTCATGTATAAATACATTTCCTTTCAAACTTAAAATCGAATGGACTTAAAAATTTTATAGTTAAAAGGTTTTGCGTATTTTGTATTACATTAAAGATAAGAATCCTATGTATTGCAGCTGAACATCATTGACAGCGCCAAGAACTAAAAAGACCGCGACTAACTGCTTTCCTGTTTATAAGCCTTGCTTCTTAACACTGGAATAGTTCAATCAAGCATTAACCAGACTCCTAAAGATATCAGAAACATTCTAAGAACGCCGTTTGATATGAATGAAATTTGTCATAATAGAAACGATTTTTTAAATAGTTAAAAAATCAAAGCTATTGGCCAAATATTTGCCTGAAACAGGGCTTAGAAACTATGTCACATAAAATATTTCACAAACAACAATGGAAGGTCAATTGAGACAAGCATTTTCGCAACGGTAAATCCTTCAAATCCCCGGTGAGGCATGAATTCGTGTGATCTCTGTGTGGTAAAAAATAAATAAGTAAATAAAATGTTTTGTCAACTAGGATGGTATTTGATAGACGCAAGAACTAGGCTACATCCCTTGACCTGAAGCTAACATTCTTTTCTTCGTTCCTAATCAATTGGATTATAAGTTGTTTTACTGATAATGGCGTTCTGTCTAGCTAAGTGGAGGGGCGTCTTCGTGAAAGAGTTTTCTGACGGAAATCGCTTTTGTACACGTAATATATGACGAAAATAAAAACAGCCTGTGCATGCCCGTTCGGTAGGATTTGAGGAATGTGAAGCGTTCAGCACTTTAACCCACTCGGCCACTGGTGACTGCTCAGACTGTAAAATTAGTGGGTATACTAAGCGCCCATGGACTCTGGAAAGCATACAATAGTCAAAATATAAAACAGAGAGCATATTTATGAACCTGTTTATCAAATTTAAAATGAAACTCGCATCAGATATATAGTTTAAATTAGAAGAAAGATGAACGATTCATTCCGGTCCAGTAAATTTAAATATAAATTAACTGACAGGATCAGGTACAGCATTCGTCAGCAAAGTGAGAAGTAGAGGTTTTTATCTACAGTTGAAATGAATATTTTAATCCAGTAGTCGAACTTTTGAATATTATCTCTATTGCAGTATAAGGTCCACCCGGTGAACGAGCGGCTGAAGGGAGTGGATGTATAAAGGTTTCATGACTTTTCCCCCACGTACAACGTCATTATGAACTAATTTCCCTCAGAATGTCCTCCCCAAAGCTATCCTGCCACCTGCTATAGATAGTAGTCCTTAGGACTATTACAGTAATAAATAATGGAACAGGAGATTTATCGTTATTCTTGTTTATTTGTCATAAATTTTTGTTTGCAAGACTCGTGTATTCACTACTCTCCTTTTACTAGACGCTCCCAAATTCTCCTAAAGCTAGAACTGCATTAACGATTAGAAAGCTTGGATCCATCTAGGCATGTCGTGTTACGGTTACATTTTGTTTCTGTACATTGAATTCTGTGACTGTAAATTTTCCAGTTACAATCGTTAATAGCCATGAAATTTCAAGAGCAAATAGTTAATTTTTAATTAGTTGTACTTGTTATGGTGAGATTGCAACCTGGTGACTTAATTACGTAAATCTGGTAAGTTAATTACGAAAGTCATGATTGGATTTATCGATCGTTAGGTATCTTCATAATATGCAGTTAAATTGTGAGCGTGTAGAATAATAACGCTCACAATAATAACAATAATTGTGAGCGTGTTGCTTTAGAAACTACTTGCTGATTTCAACTAAACTAATGACCGTTATTGATCATACTAAGTAACACAGGCTAACAAAACGGATATTCTGTAATAAATAAACCACGGTTTAGAAAAATAAGGTAGAGTAGTGGCTGGATGGTTAGACAGTCAGATACTGTAATTTGTTCCGAACTTGTTTATGGGGACGAAATTTTAAGGAATTTAAACGCTTAAACCTTAACTTAAACTAGCTTGCGTTTAAGCAAGCCAGTTTCTTCTAGAACATTCTTTACAAAGGTCAACACGACATCAAAAACTAACATTGTATAAAAGATTTGAAAACTGCAAGTTTAGTTATAAATGTTTTGAAAGACAGACATACTCTTTCATGTATGAAACTCAAATAGACTACATGCACTACCCGACATTGAAAAATCAAAAAAGAAGAAGGGGCTAGAAAGTGATGAAACTCGGCAAACAGAGAGAGATAGCAACGAACAATAAGTGATCTTTATTTCGAAATCATGTGCTTAATACAAAGCGAGAAGAGCGTCGGTTCAGTAGGTTGTAGGACCGCGATACACGAAGCAACAAATCTAGGTGCAGAGGACATGAGACTACGGATGGTGTCCTAAGAAATGGCTCTCCATTTCCTGCCAACCATTTGCCACAGTTCATCTTCTGAACGCGGCAATGGCAGCGTCTGCAAATGGCGTCCAATCACATTCCAAATGTGTTCGATTGATGAGAGATCAGGAGAGAACGGTGGTTAGGGAAGCATCTGTACACTGCATTGAAGTCATTCGAGTTAGTGGCAACGCCATACACTCTGCCACGGCTCTTTTGAGTCCCCGGCCCCGCGGCTGCGCACTAGCAACCGTATTATTAAGTTCTTCCTAGACTGCACCGCAACTCCCTAATAAACAAGTAATTTTGCACAATGGGGGTGAAGTTCTAGTTCTGGTTCTGATTGTACACCTTGCAGAGCACGTTGGCTGATGCGAGCAGTGCGTGTTCAGACGTTATCCTGCTGATAAAGGGCATTGATAAAGGGCACTCCCCTACCTTCAGGCATCCCTGAAGCTCAGCACCATTTCAGGCATTGGCGTCTATGATGTGGGGTTGATGGAAGTCTTCTTATAAGACGCCACGAGTGATTGGTAGCCACTAGCTACCAATCAATGGCAAACGGTACTATGGAAATGAATCTATAGCAAATGGTCGACATGAGAACATACAGGGTGGCTTAAACATGCTGAACATGAATTTAGGTAGAAGAGGCTTACGAGTGCGGCCACCGCTTGTCGGCAGATACGTCGATCCACGCGTGCTGACTTCACTCCGGCTGCACCGGCACCCCTGGAACTTGTCACATTTCTTTGTTCCATCGACCGTTGTCACAGCGGTACACTGTGGACGTGTCCAGGTGTGTGTCAGCTGAGATTTGCTCTATGGACCAACCTGTCCTTCTCAATCCAATCGAGGAACTGCCTTCGTTTAAGACGACCTGGCATTCTTTGCTATTACACGCGTCCTCTGAGACAAGAACAAATTTTCTATGATGATTTCTCTAGCCGAAATAACGGCACGAAAATTGAACATTCTACATTCCCTTATATCTTCTACAACGTGAGATGGAGAGCTCCGCATTTTACATCATTTCCATAACTTGGTGACGTGCGTCTACTCTGAAATTTACATATTTTGGGGCCACTCATTCTTTGTATTGCATTTTCAATGTCGGATAGTGTATATAAACTACTCCTTTTTACTGTTACAGTAATTCAGAAATCGTAGAAAACTTTGAACTTGGCAATTCAATTGTGTTTGCAATGAGGTTCGTCGGGGGAGAACAATATGTAATTTTACATTAAATAAAGTTACTATATATAACTTTCATGGATTAAAAATATATTACCAGGATACTAGATTAATGTATACGTGAGTAACATAGGAAAGGATTAATTGTTGACTTTTATTAAATGCATTAATGCTTAAACTGTAATTGCAAAAATCAACAGAATTATCTAATTATTACCTTGTTATTTAGAAAATAGTTTGAACTCTGCATCATGAACTGTTTTATTTATCCTTCAACATCTATCAGGAAAAACAAAGCAGCTTTTTTTTTACCGTCTTGATTTACAGAGGCCGATTATCAAAAAGTCATACACCAAGTGGAAGTCCCCATTGTGGAGTTCGATACTTGCCTAGAATGGTACTCTGCCCAGGAAGTAGTCATCTCTGATACTATGCTCTGCGCTGGATTCGCAGAAGGACAGAAGGATGCTTGTCAGGTACAGTGTTCAACAAAAACGGTAGTAGAGAATTTGTGAAGTAACTTAATGCATTTTATTTAAGAATATCACAGTTATCTAATTTAACTTTTACAGTATAACTTGGCAAACATGTTAAAAAATATTAAATAATTTTTTGATAATTAATTTTCCTTTACTACGGTCAAAAGACAATTACAGATATTCTGAAGTTAGCAACCGTAATAAAGAAATGTGCTAACTTCGTAGTCACGGTTAAAATAAAAAACAACTCGACATTTTTAAATAACCAAGCGAATTATGCATATGTTTTCTGAAACTATTTTAACCTTTTTTATAATTAACTTGACTGTATCTCAAGCTAATTTAAATTTTAACCTTTTTTATAATTAACTTGACTGTATCTCAAGCTAATATAATCAAATACGTTTTCTTTGAACATTTAATAATTATGGAAGTAAATATAAGTCGGAACAGCTAGTCAAATAAGATATGATTAAACAAAAATATGTTTAACTTAATTACAATAAAATAATAATTTCATAAATGTGCCTTTTCGCATTAATTCGTTTTTAGAGAAAATCATGAAGAATAAGATAATCTTCTGTTGAAAGTAAATAAATTAAAATCAGAAAATATTACTGAGAGGCTTATTTAAGCTTACGTGGAAGCTACCATGGTCTAAATTTATGATTTTTTAATTTTTGGGCCTATACCATAGCTTAAGTCACAAGCATTCATTTCTTGAAGCTGTACTTACAACTAAGATAATCGCGTTTCATTCTCTCTTAGTAAGGAAACTTTTATGAAAAGATGCTCACGGTTGAAATCGATACTGAAAAGAGTTTTAATCATTGTCCGTGAAACTACTTGCACTTACCAAAAATGTTTTTGTCACTGTAATTACGTTAAAGCATACCAAAAGGCGCTAAGCTATTTCAGTTGTGGTTCTTACACTTATACTAAAGTGTTAAAAAATTTAAAAATTAAATCAGGGCATTATATGAGATTTTCATTAAGAATGATCGAGGTAGAAATATTGAATGAAGATGATTATGGTGCTGGAAAGTAAACATATTTTTAGTATTAACTAAATCTAAACAGTTTTTATTTCATTTTATTCTTTCCCCCCTTTAGGTATACGTTAATTAAACCTAAAGTAATAAGCTCAAGTATTCCACTTTATGTAAATAGATTGTATCATTAATAATGTATAAAATTATAGATATACGTGGAGAAAATTTTAAAATAACAAAGAAATAATTATTAATTTTTTTTAATTTCTATTCAAAAGTTTTATTAAAAACGTTCTAAATTCTAAGCTGCTTTTAGATTAAAATTGAAATTATTGTTTATTGTTAAATGGCCCATTTTCTACAATCCTGACAAATTTTGTAAAGATATTGTATTTTGCGAAAGTGTATACCGAATAAACCCACCATCGGTATTTTTTTTTTTTTACTAAATGAAAAGGAAAATTTAATAGTTCTATTAATTTAATAGTTGTATTGGGTCAGTCCATAAATTCGTGCGCATTTTTTGGTAAATTTTTAAATAATATAAAAAACACAATTTAACATGTTAATCAATTATATATTTTCCTCCATTATCTACAGTGTCTCGCCATCTTACAGGCAGCTTTTATTATGTTTTGAAGCAAAAAAAATTGAAAGTTCATTGTGTACATCCTGTTTAGAATTTAATTTTTTCCCCAGTAAAAAAATTTGAAAGGCACAAATAAGTGCAAATCACTCGAGGCAATATCTGGAGAGTAAGCAGGATGTGGCAAAAGCTCCCAATTAAATTCACTAATTTTTTTGCAGCGTTGTTCGAGCCGTATGCGGTCTAGCGTTATCATTATGAAACAACACTTTCTTGATATTTACCAATCGTGGGCGGTTTTTGATCAATTCTGAGTTTAGACGGCAAAGTTGTTCACTATAAACTTCTGAATGAATCGTTTGATTTGGTTCTAACAGTTCAAAACGTCCTGAACGGGCTTCATCATCAATGCTGCTTTTTCCAACTTTAAATTTTTAAACCATTTCAGGACAGTCCTTACACTAATAGTGTGTTCACCATGTACACTATTAATTTTTATCGCTGCGAACCTGGCAGATTCACCACACGAAAATAAAAAATGTAGCACAGCACGTTTGTACTTATTATCTATATTCATCTTCTATGGGTACTAAAATGAGTTCGATATTTACGAAAGTTGGTGATGAACTGAATGCTATGTTAGTCAAACGATGACAAGTTTCAACAGGTTCGAAATTGTATTGTTTTAGTAAATGCGTCATAGCGAATTCCACGCATACTCTTAATGCGCACGAACTTATGGACTGACCTGATAGAATTAATATCATATTATTACATGTATATCAACTTAATTGTACATATTTTCAAGGTACTAAATATCTTAATCTTACCTTTCTTCTGAAACTAAATATGTGGATGTAAACTAGTATTAAAATTGTTTTATTTAGAAAATCGAAATGTATTAAGTGCTTGGCACATCTAGCTGAGAAATTGGAAGGCAAGTGGTTCGAATCCGTAGTGAAGGCAAAGTTGGTTTTTCACATTTCCTGCTCCAAAATTCTTAATAATCTCTACAGTAGCATCCGAATGGGATGAAACTCGTCTCGCCTCGAGTGAGTCTCATTCCTCTACTCAGTAACCTTTAAGCAGGGAAGAATGAAAAGAACTAGTAGTCTTGGATTGTAAATGGTTAGCAAAACCAGCTAATAAGCTGAAAGATCCGTGGCTCGAATTCTGACGAAGATACAACTGATTTTTCATGTTTCCTGATTCGGAAATTTTAGTAGCCGTTATAATGTGAGCTAGTTGTTCAGTTCTTATAATGTACTCAATTTCCACTTGTTTCATCCTAGCACAACAGACCTGTTCCTTAAAGCTATGTTCTACTCACAGTTGCTGCTAACTCTGAAATCCCAGTAGTTGCCACAAGAAAAAAGGCTGTGAATTAATTCATGCACATGTCTTGTAGCTTTATGAAGTTAATTTACAGATATAAGACTTGCGCTATGGCTATAAGTATCAGCCAACTTTTAAAATGCTGAACGCATCCTTAAGAATTGGTTCCACCATCTACCAACGAACAGAAGAATTCACACTGCAATCATCAGGGTAAAGTCTCATTGACTTTAAACTGATCGTTATGGTGGTAGACCATTTTAGGAAGAGCGAGAGAAGGTATGATATCTCAACAGTATTCTTACGGGAATTATATTTCGTATTTATTCTAATTTAGAACACGAAATAATAATCTGCTTCAAACCACTTATTGCTATACTGCTATCCAAGTAACTATGCTATGTTAAATATGTAAACCAAACTTATTTTCAGACGGTGTGCTTGACTTAATACACTTATTTCAGTGCTTACATGCTCTTTAGTGCTTACATAATAAATAAATTCTCCTTTAATTGTGAGTTTAAATAAAGATAACTAGATACCCAAATCAAAGAATACTATTTTTGCTTTATGGGTTAGAAACAGATTGAATGCACACAGCTCCGATGATAGGTTAATAAAATTTATCTTATCAAAAGAAACAATTCAAAGTTCTGGAACTTTCCACAAAAATAGTCGTACAACTCTTCACAGTATCACAGATTATAGTGAGTAGTTACGCTTAGTAATAACTACTCACTATAGTAGTAGACTATAGTGAGTAGCTGCAAAGAGCATCAATCACAATTATTCAGTTACAATATTAAATACAGTTATACAGGGACTGGACAAAATGTCTCCTAATGGTCGCCAAGCTTGACGACTTTTGGCGATTTCTCGCAAAATTTGACTACAAAATTATTTGCCAGAACAGTTGCCGACCTGGCGATATCTCGCCAATTTAGTGAGATAGTCATTTACTCAATGTGAAATACACTTGCCCTTGTATTCTTACTTTTCCGGTAAGTTTCGCTTCTCTAGATTTTCATGTTACATTACACAGAAAAATACAACAATTTCACATATAAGTGTAATAAAATCATCTATCTGTTTACAAAATTCGTAACAATATATTTCCATTGATTGCATTTTACAGTATTTGCTGTTTCTTAGAAAAATATAGTGATGATGAATGCATTTTTAATACTGTTATCTGCTTTTTTACTTTAGGGTGACAGTGGAGGACCTTTGGTTTGCAAGACAGAAGATCACTGGTTTGTAGCTGGTGTTGTTAGTTGGGGTATTAAATGTGCCCAGCCTAATTTACCAGGGATCTACACTAATGTTCCGCTTTATGTGGAGTGGATTCGAAAGACTGCAGAAGAAGCTGGATATCCGCTTTAATGCCAGAACATTTTAAAGATGGTTCAAAAACATTGCCATCGGATACTGAAATCATTAAAGAATTTAATAACATAACTGAAAACGAAAATAACAGAAGATAACGTAAGACATAATTTTACATTCAAGCATGAGACTTGGTTTTTCTAGGCAACAAAATTTCAAGCCTCTGAAACTTGCAACGTACTTAAAAGCATCCTGGAACTATCTCGATGACTCCTTATCGTTACAGAACAATCTCGAAACATAATTCACTTGTAAAGAGCTGAGTATTGGGCCACTGAAATGTTTTTGAACAATTATGTTCTTGATTACATAAAATTTTTGGTATTACCTATAATGGATGCTTTTGTAGTAGCTTCAACTGTTATAAACTATTATAAGGAGCTTTTTTGTGCTCCGATGAGCAGTTTCCTTGTCTCTTTTTCCACCAATTTATAGACACGAAGGCACTTTGAGAAGATTTATGTCCTAATATAGCTTCCTGAAAAGAGAGTAAAAATAAAAAAAAAAATGCGTGCTGGAATCAAATTACCAAAACATATTTTCAAATTGTTGCAATGTTATAATCTTTGGAAAAAAATTTAGGTCTAAAAAATTAAAAACTGACTACCAACATATCAGTAATTTGATATTTAGTTTAATAATTATAGGACAAAACTATTATCACTGTATTTATATCATACCTATGCTAAGTAGCATAAAGAATTAAGAAGGAACAAAGTCGTTAATACCTTCAAACCAAAGAAACAAAAATCATATATTCTTATGGTAGGAAAGCTATTAATTTACTCTAGTATTTATGGCGGTCTTTTTCTTAGGTACCGATTTTTCCTGGGAATCATAATATGGATGTGGGAAATATTTTTCTTGATTACTTTCGTACTTTGGCTCCTCTAAAACTAAAACTTGGGAAAACTGGTGTAATTTGCAGTTGTCCTGAATTACGTAATTAATGGCGTATTAGTACTGACATTCTGTGATAAGCAGTTTTTTAACAAAAGTGGTATTTTCTTTTTAGTTAGTGATAAAATCCTATTCGTATTAAGTAGGTGTTGTTGCCAGTCGAAGCTGATGTAGGAGACTTTTCCTTTATCGTTGATATTTTAATCAGTCATTTCTTCTGGAACTCTCAAAACCATTTTGCAGTAAGTATTATTTCATATCGTGAGTGTCATAAAAGAAATAGGTCCCAGCATGATTTGATAAATTGCTAAGAAAATGTGTAACTCCATTTCTGAATTACACTATCGTCTGTCTCCAAAATAAAATTTAATGGTTTTGATTGAATTTTGTAGTATCATAATGATTGCAAATTGATATAATATTTCTTTCCTTAGTTTTGTTCAAATAATAATATGTTTTTAATGAGGTAATATTTTCCTTTGTACATCATTTCACATTCACTAAAGAAGTATAGAAAGAAATTCCGAGTCTTTCAAACTGAATTTGTTTTTTGAGTTGACTTTTAACTTTGCAGAAAGATTTTTTGGTCATATCACAATAGCAAAATATTTTTGAATTTTATATATTCTCTTTCTTCTTATGTTTCTGTTCTTTCAAGTTGGTATTCTATTGCTAAACACTAAAGAATTTCTTCAATATATCTTAGACCAGAAGTTTCTTGCTTCTTTATCCTTGTAATTAACCTCTTTTTTTTTTTTTTTTTTTTTTTTTTTTTTTTTTTTTTTTTAATCTAATTCTCAGACTTTTACTTCAAAAAGTCGAAAAGTTTATTTCATTCCATCTGAATTTAAATCTTCTTTCTACATTATTTCCAATAGCAATAGAATATTTTGAAGCGATTATAATGAAACGTTCAAAGGTTAATTAAAGTTTATTGTATAATAAACGTTCAAAGATAATAAAATATTCGAAGAAAGAATTTTTCAAAATATGATGATTGGAATTCTAAAAGGCACAAATAAACATATTTAATTAAGTACACAGTGATAAAGCATCAGCTTTTTCTCTCTTTATGTCAGAATTTTTATAAATTATTAAATTATTAAAAAATTATTAAAATAAGTGTAACTTTTTTTAGGACCTATAAGATTCATTTTTCGTAATCTTTTCTGCGTAAACCTGTTGATTATTTTTATTTTTGATGATTTTTTTATAAATTGATAGACAGTGTATTAAATTTATACGAATGGAATTATTTTGCATATACTCTGAATATAAACCGAATTCTTTAATTGCTTTGGCTTTAAGAAGACAATTATATGTGCTTAAGTTTTCAGTTAAAACTGAAAATAAGAATTTTTAATCTCAATGAAATGTTCCAGAATTTGAACGAAATCTCTTAAGAATCATGTGAATCTTCTTACATTCTAAAATACTCAAATGAATAACCACATATCAACTGAGAAAATCTTTTGCAATTTGAGCGTAAGGGAATACATTCTACGATATCTCTCCCCCGCCTTCCCAAGAAAAAACATATATTTTGTATATTTAGAAAATATTTTAATTATAATATATAATTAGGCAAAAGTCACACTTAAGTTGGCTTATCAAAAACTCCATTGATTTTGAGGACATCAAACAATTTAAACATAATGGACAAAACGATGAAATTGTAAGAATGTATGCAAAATCAGGTTTGGGGGAATAGGGATTTTGTATATTAAATCAACTTCTAGATTTTTTTTTAATTTTTAATATCAAATCATTTTTTAAACATTTCATTGAAAATATATATTAAAAAAAAACACAAATAAATTCTCTAAACAGCTAAATTTTTGTAATCTTAAAGAAAGCAAAACGTTTTCACACTGTAAGCAAAATTTCGAAATTGGTGAGAAATTTCAAAACGTTATGCTATTTCCTCTAAAAATTAAAAAATATTCATCAAAGCCTGCAGTCACAAACATACCAACGATTTTAATCCTGTTTTGCCCCATGAACCCGTTTCCTCATTTGCCAGATCGACATGTCCTTCTCTTTCCAAAAATCGAAAAATACATATACATTTATTTCGTTTAGATTATAACCGCAAAACAGAAAGCAGACGGAGTCAGGCTGACCGCATCTTCTCCCTGAATGAATAAAATTTCTCACCAAGGAAAGATTTACTCCAAGCTAAATCAATATATATATAATTAAAGCAAAGCGTTTAAATATGAATACTGTTATATTTTTAGTTGGTAAATTCTTAAGAGTAATACTAAATCATGAAAGCTTCGTTACTAAGAAATAACTAATGTGAAGAAGTAATATGAGAAAAATAGAAATAACTTCATGGTATGTCATTTGTAACTGAAGTAATTAACTTCATGGAATGCATATTTTTTTATTTACCTGCAACCTCATTTCCCCAAAAAGCTTAAGTACTTGTTAATTAAAAATTAAGAAGAAATGAGGGAAAAAACGAAACATTTCTCTGTTCATTTCTGGTGATATATGCAATTATGCACCTTCAAAATTGTTTCCCTAAAAAAAAGCACATTTTTGGATTTATTTTTCTTTTACCGGCAGTAGCTTAGCTGTTAAGATGCACAAGATGTAACAATAAAGGTGTGTACTGCATTTAATGTATAGAAGTTGGAATCTGATATTGTAAACAAATGTGTGTGTAAACTTATTATATGTTGTATTTTTATGCGAAAAATTAAATGCATATTTTAAATTGTCTGTAACTAGTTAGTATAATTATTGCATCTGTTACATGTACATATAGACGTAAAATATAAGCGATGTAAAAATGGCCACTTCAAAATAGTGATGTTTGTTTCATTATGTAAGTGAAAATAATAAATAAAGTTACGGTCCTTATTGTTATTGAAGTTGATATTTCTTCCCACGGTTTGATTTCACTTGATAGTGCAATTTTGCTAATTCGAAATTTTACAAATGGATTGATAAAACACTTATTTTTTCTGGGAGATAGCCATTCATCAACATTAAAAAGTTAAACTGCTAACAAAAGTTAATATTCATAAATATAATAAAGAATACTTAAATCTTCTTGTTTTTAAAACACAGTGAAATAACGATTAGATACTACAAATATAAAACTTCCCTACATTCGGTAAACTATTACCATTCCAATACCAGTGAGATAGATAAAAATGCTCAAAATGATCAACTTCAGGCTTTCGATGGAAACAGTAATCTTCAGTATTGTAAAAATAATGTATGTTATTATTATTTATTTTATACACTAAATCATATGAAATGTCTTAATTTAATAAAAAACGTAACAATGAAATTAATACTTTTATTATGGCTATACACTAAGATGACTACTCAATAAAATTCCCTAATAATAATAATAACAGTTTTTTTTTATTATTATTTTACACGAAACGCATTAGTTTGTTTTCAATCTCTGTCTTTTAGACTGACACACGATTCTTGTATGATATATTCAATACATCTGGAATCACAAAAATAACAAATGAGATATTTTGCCTAAGTATTAGTACAGTAAAACTTCAGCAAGTCATCCAGATGGTCACTTCACTTATTAAGTCAAATATTTTCGCTGCAGACCAATTCTTATTTCATTTTTATATACAGCGAGTATTGGTTACTTATTCACTTTTGAAATACTGACTCCGGCTATAAGACGCTGTACTCAAACACACGTTTTAATTTTTATTCCTTTTTTATTTTATTTAATTAATTTATTTATTGTCGGCCAAAACGAAAATAAGTTTCTTTCCATTTGAAGTTTTTCATCAGACTAGTCTGCATTTCCCCTCTCTTTGGAAATCCATAAAATCATTTAACATTCGTCGATAAGGAAGGAAAACATAGTTGAACTACCTGTTTTTCATGGGAAGCAAGCACACAGGTTTTGCAAGTTACACTGTAACCTAATGTTTGGCATCCAAATAAGAGAGGGTTCAGATTCTACATTTTCGGCCGAATTTTTTGTTAGTTATGTAACGAAGCAATGTAACGACAGTGGTTCTTGATAATTCTATTAGTACTCTAGATAAAAATTCTGAATATGTTAATTTGTTTCAACAATACACAAATTTTAAAAAAAATATCAGTATCAACATTTAAGCATGATGTTGAGCTTTATATTACAAAAACAGTTCAACCAGTTTATACCAAAGCTAGATAACTGGATTCCAAGCAATTGCAAATAACAAAACAGGAATTTCGAAAAAAGCATTACTTGCCCTCTAAATCGCAATGGGTCAGTTCCCTTTGCATGGATTTTAAGAAAGATAATTCCTTCCTACCGTGCGGAGATTATTGCTGCTTGAATGCACAAACAATACCGATTAGAGGATTTCATGGAAAAATTGGATGGAAGCTATTCCGCTTAAAAACAAATTTGTAGAAACTGTAGAGGAAGCTTTCTACAGTAGTTGAAGAACAATTTTTGGAATACTCTTACATCTAATTACTGATCCTGGAGCTAAATTTTCATCTGAAATATTTCAAACCTTGCCTAGAATATGCAGCATTAAGCCTATATTACAAACTATCACCCTCAGTGCAATGGCAAAGTAAAACGTCTTCACAGATCAATAAAGGCTGCTTTAAAAGCCTATAATAATGTAATTTGGTGTGAAACATGACCAACGACACTCTTAGGCCTACGAACAGCAATCCATAACGGTACTAATTATACAGTAGCAGATATGGTGCATTGAGAGAATATTAAACTTCCTGGAGAATTCTTTGAAGCAAAATGAAATCATACGCCACCTGATACTTTTATAAATAAATTACAAATGTACATAGAATTAATCCAACCGAAGGAAACGCAACAGAAATGTATCCCTAAATTATTTGTACATAAAGATTTATGATCAAACTCTCACGTTTTTCTTCGTATTAATGGAATTCGGAAGCATTTCGTACCACCATATGAAGGTCATTATATTGCTATCAATCGTTCACCAAAATATTTTATTCTCAGGAGAAAGAATCAAGAAGCAAATGTTTCGGTAGACAGATTAAATCCAGCATATGTCCTACTACAACATATTCCTGAACAAGAGAAATCTACAACTCGAAATTTTATAAACAGTGCGCCAACGCCAACTCAGCTCCAAACCAGAACAGTTGTGGTTCAACTCAGAATCAAATTAGCTTTAAGACAATCCCGAGCTGGTAGAATTCTTTAGACACCATTGCGTTTCCAAAACTGATATATTATATTTATACACTAATTTTATCATTATTTTCAAAATAGGCACCATTACTTGGTCCCCAACATTTCTAACGTAACGTTCGTAAATATACTTGCATAAATGTGTAAATATAATAGCATAGAATGTAAATAATTAATTTAAAAGTAATTCACAAATATTTTAGTAAATGTTTAGTTTGCGTATTATGGTATTATCGTTTTGTGGCAATAGTTTTCATATTGGATTCCTGTTTAGAATCCAATGTTTTGCTTTAAAAAGAAGATTTAGTTTTGCTTCAAGAGTTGAAACATAAAGGATTTGGTGTTATTATGGTAGTACTATTCGTAGCTCAAGAAAATACCATTAAGGTCTAAAGTCTTTATCTACATCTTATTACGCTGTCTCAGCTAAGAGCCAACAGATATTTTATAAATTCAATATTCCAGGTGTGCATTTAAAGAGACGCTAAATGACTTCCTCAGCGGCAAAAGCTCTAGCAACGGAGAGACCGCGAAATCCTGCGATTTGACATTCAGACCTTAGGCAACCGCCTCAAAATGAATCCAAGCAGTGAACGTTTAGAACTAGGGATACTCTTCGGAGAACAGCCTTGAAGCCAAAAAAAGGGAGAAACAGCTTATTACCCATTGTATTTGAAATCCCCATGAATAAATACCTCCTCTCACTTGACAGAAGTATATGAGTTACAAATTGGATCAAATACTCAGAAATTCTGAATAACTTTATACAAGGAAATCCATGCATCAACAACAAAGAAGAATTAGAACAAGAAGTCTCAAAATTACCAACTGCATCAATTCTGCTTTAAGGAAAGCCACCAATACTTTGCTACCTACCTGCCGATATAAGAAATAGTATTAAAGAGAAAAACCGGATCCGTAAAAGATGGCAAAACTACCAGGGATAAACAATTCAAACGCGAACTAAACTCTATGCAAAAAGAAATCAACAGAAGAATCAAGAACTTCAAAAACCGAAAAATAGACAAATTTCCTATATAACCTAACTATAGAGGATAATTCCCTATTTGACATCTCCCGAAAATTCAAGAAACCTTATAAACCTATCCCACCTATCCATGGACCTAGTGGGATTTCATATGCAAAAGAAGATAAAGCTAAATCTTTTGAGGACTATATGGAAGATACATTCACTCTTAATCCCACTCCGTACGACAATAACCATATTCAACGGTTCAGTCTGATGGTCAGTAACTTCCTTAATACCCCAGCTCCGTACAACTTCACTTTCCCGACAACCCCAACAATCGTAGCCAACACTATCATCTCCTTACAGACGAAGAAAGCCCCAGGGCACGATGGCATCTCGACCAAAGCATTGAAACATTTTCTGCTCAACGCTCTTACCTGCCTTACTAAGATAATCAACAACATTATCAAATTCGCTCATTTTCCTAGCTCATAGAAGCAAGCTATAATAATTGTTTTTGCTAAACCGCAATCAAAATTCCACCTCCCCGCAGAACTAACGCCCTATCAGTTTATTAAGCCATTTTTCTAAAGTTACTGAGAAAATTCTACTTTTCCACATCCAAAGAATTCAACCTTCCATGAATTTTCTCTCAGAAGAACAATTCGGTTTTCGCAATCATCTTAGCACTATTAAAACTATCATTGTAGGCTACAACTGCAAGCTTCCGATTGGTGCCATATTCCTCGATATCGCGAAAGCTTTTGACAGGGTATGGCATCGTGGCCTTATTTACAAATTAATACTCTCAGTTTTGCAGATCATTTTATTCCCTTAACAGCCTTTTTTCTCAGACAGAACATTCATAATCAAAATCGGTACTGCTTACTCAACCACCAGAGTAATCAAACCTGGTGTCCCACAGGGGTCGGCACTTTTGCCGTATCTTTTTTAATATTTATACACAAGACATCGCTAAAGACCCTTCTGTTCATCTTGCACTCTTTGCCGATGACACCGCCATACTTACTAAAGCCTGCACAGCAGTCGCCGTAAGAAACCAACTCCAAAACTATCACATAAAACTGGAAAAATTACTCACCCAATAGCAAGATTAAAATTAATACTGATAAAACCGAGGCAATAATTTTCCGTAAGAGAAACATGAAATACTATCCCCACCCCCTGAAATATTTGACGAAGAAATAGACTGGATTAAGAAACCAAATACCTTGGAGTCACCATAGATCAAAAACGTACTTTCAGAACCCACTTCCATTCCGTATCACAAAAAGTTAAAATCACCACAGCTACTATGCGGCCTCTTCTTGGTAGAAGAAGCAACTTATCTACTACAAACAAATTAATTTTATATCCCTCCATACTTCGTTCAGCCCTCCTTTATGCAGCTCCCCCCACTCGCAGCTACATCTTATAACGACACTGAACTTATCCCCCCCGTTTTTCTCCGCCGCTAGCGCGGAACTGACTCTCTTTTTACGCCTCCCATTCCTCCTTCCACAGTACTCTTTCTCCTCCTCCCTGATTCTTATCAGAAGTCGAGTAAAAAGATATTTCTACATCTTGACACTCGAGAATAAAATACAATCTGTGTGTTATGCAGCTCCGATCTGGGAACATGCAGCTAAAACCAATATTAAACAATTACAAATTTTGCAAAATAAAATTTTACGAGAAATTATCAATGCTCCTTGGTATATTCCAAACACT